GATCTCAAGACGGGTGGACAGACTGGGGTGGATATACTCACTAAATCCACCACTGCAGTGGTTGAAGAGGTGCGACAGCAAGACATGGCAATAGTTTTGGAAAAACCCACTGCTTTTGTTCCTGACAGGCCGATTCTTTGCAATGGCGCACAGCTTGCTATCATTCACCATGATTCTGACTGCCTGTGGGTGGAGGATGCCCAAGACGTCAAGCAAGGCATGACATTGGCACAACCTGCTCACATTGGCACTGAAGATGAATTGTTTCACTTGTTTTTAGAGACATGGAAAGAAATGTGGGGGAGACACCAAGATGTTTCACCAGAGCGATGGCACACCATTTTAGAGTTTGCGCGGGCCCATCTGCCCAGACACCATATGTGCTGGAACCCTATGGACCCTGATGCGTTGGCCCAATGCATTGCCCAGAAAAAGAACACCACCTCGGCTGGTTTGGATGGTGTTACTCTCTGTGATTTGAAGGCCATGCCGGTGACTGCACTGGAAAATTTTACTCACATGTATAGGCAAGCTGAGACAACAGGTGAATGGCCAACTCAAGTGCTGGCAGGCAGGGTCACCTGTATCGCAAAAACTGAGGAACCCCAAAGTGCCTTGGACTTTCGCCCCATAACGGTGTTCAGCCTCCTGTTTCGCTGCTGGGGGACATTTCACGCAAAGAAAGCTATCCGCATGCTTGAACCTGCCCTGCCTGATGGCCTCTTTGGCAGTAGGCCCCACCGTTTTGCAGGGCAAATATGGTCACATGTGCTCTGGAGTATTGAGATGGCATATGAGGAAGGGTTGCCCTTAAGTGGGGTCATTGCTGACCTGCGCAAAGCCTTCAATTATCTCCCTAGGGAAGTGGTATTGGAAGGATGTGCAATTGTTGGGGTCCCATTTCCGGTGTTGACTGCTTGGGCCGGGGCCCTGACCAATATGCCCCGGCGGTTCCAAATCCAGGGTAGTATCAGTAAGCCTGCGTATAGTACATGCGGGTTGCCTGAGGGATGTGCTTTGTCTTGCCTTGGTATGATGGTTGTTGACATGATGTTCCATGCTTGGATGGTCCACTTTTTCCCTTTGTGTCAGCCGCTGTCCTATGTCGATGATTGGCAAATTTTGGTCTGTCACCCTGATGCCATGCAACCTACTTTTCAGTGTTTGGAGCGATTCGTTGCAGCCATGGACATGTTTCTAGATCAACGTAAAACCTCCACCTGGTCCCTCAGTGCCGAGGGTAGGAGTTGCATCCGGTCTCAGGGCTTTGGATTGGTGGCTTCATGTCGCAATTTGGGCGCGCATGTCCAGTTCACCCGGCAACACACCAACCACACCCTCATGGAGCGCATATCCCGTCTCAACCCCCTGTGGCCTAAGCTAAGGATGTCGGCTGCCCCTTATGCCCATAAGATAAGAGCCTTGTTGAGTGCGGCGTGGCCACAGGGATTGCATGGTATCGCTGCTACCACGATTAGCCAGGCTACTTACCAGGCGATTCGTGCTGGTGCCATGAAAGGTCTCAAGATGGATGCCTCCGGGGCAAATGCGCAAGTGCACCTCGGTTTAGTGGAACAAAGTAGTGTTGACCCCTTCTGTTGGTCCATCCTACAAACCTTTGGTCTCACCCGAGACTGTGGCTCCCCTCCCAGGGTCGAAAGTGTTTTAGCTGACGTCGCCCGTGATTTGACATGCATCCCTAATAACTCCATCACGCACACGCTCTTTGGGCGGGTGCTGGCTCTAGGCTGGCATGTCACGGGAAGTGGGCAGATACAGGACATGATTGGGCAATTTTCACTGTTTGAGGCCTCCATGGCGGAGCTCCGCTACAGAGTTGAGTTTCATTGGCCATGGGTTGTTGCAGCTGCTGTTGCCCACAGACCATGTTTTGCGGGCCTTAGTGAGGTGGATGCCCCAGCCACACGTGAATGGATGCAATCCCTGGATACTGCGGACAGAGGCCTTTTCAGGAAGATTTTGAATGGAACCCATATCACTCAGGATGGCAAGAAATACTGTCAGGAAGCGGAGCTGGATGTGTGCCCCTTTTGTGCATGCACCGATAGCAGGTACCATCGTTTCTGGCAATGTGAACACTTTGAACACAGACGACAGCATGTCGCACCTGAAGATTTGCGTATCATCCTTGAACTACCTGAGGCAATCTCATGTTGCGGTTGGGCCCTTTCTCCCACCACCAGACTCGAATGGCACCAGTATTTGGACACGTTGCCACTAACGAGTCCATCTAGGGTTGAACACCATGGTCCTTTGCATTTGTTTACTGATGGTAGCTGTCAGATGCAACATTGTGTACAACTACGTTTTGCAAGTTGGGCGGTGACCCGAGCTACAGAACTTGGGGTGCACAGTTATGATGGCACAGCGCTGATTGACTCAGGCCCTCTGCCAGGTTTACTCCAAAGTGCCATTCGTGCTGAAGTGTTCGCTGTGATGCGGGCCTTGCAAAGTGCAGAGACCCATGTGGGACCACTTCATCTTTGGTCGGATTGTGCAGCGGTTGTTCGGAAAATGCGAAAGCTGATTGCTGGCCATAGCGTGCGGGCCAACAGTACACATGCTGACTTGTGGGGAGAAATTGAGAGATTGGTGCGGCACCGCACTGGTCAGATTAGTATCACCCGTGTAGCAGCTCACCAGACACTGCAGGGGAATGAAACTTTCTTTGAGGAATGGTGTTTCAGGAATAATGCATTTGCAGACAAGTGTGCGGTTCAGGCCAATAGCAACAGGGGAGCTCATTTCTGGTCACTGTGGGATAGGCACCAACATGCCTTTTCACGAGCCCGGGCCCTCAGTTCTCTTATTCAGGGTGTGCAACTTGCCATTAGCCAGGATGTTGTGAGCATGGAACCTTCTGATTTGCCGGACGCACTCCCTGAGGAGTGCATGCTGCCACTCCCTGACTCTCCTTGGACACCCTTGCCTAGATTGCACATACCTGCTGGTGCGGTGCGATGGTATGGAGATCACATGGTGCGGCTTGTGATTAGCTGGTTCTGGCAAACTCTCTTTTCTGCTGATGGGCCGATGAGGTGGATATCGCATTTTCAGTTGTACGCTGATTTTATGATGGCGACTGGTCACCCAGGACCGGTGCACATGCATAAGTGGCTGGAGGGCACACAGGTTTCACATTTAACCCTGCAAGGTTTTGGTTTCAAACAACGATCCAGGTGGTTTGCGAAGATCCTTAAGGAGACGATCCGTCACATGGGGATCAGTTTACACTTTGGATATGGGAAACCGTACTCTAACATGGTGTTGACATTCACTGGCGTGATGGCTCTGCCTTGGCCACAAGATAGGTTGGAAGCGATTGATAATTGGATGTTGGCTTGCGCTGGCACTACGTTTCGCCGGCAATCCAAAAAGATCGACGCCCTGCCATTTTGTGACCGCAATGCAAGTTTCACCCCGGTCTATGTCACAACAATTGGCATGTGACCCAGCTCAAGACGGGCAGCGTCAGACTCCAACGCTGTGCGCATGGGAAAGTGAGAAAGTGGTGGTTTGGAACATTTTTTATTTTTCCATATATTGGGAATAATAATCCCAAAGGACTTTCATATTTTTCAGAGGGGTAGGCATACCACCAACCAGCTAATCGTTGTTGGTACCCTAAAGATGATGATGCACCCCACTCGCTGGGAGCATTCGCAGATATCTTGACGGATCGTTGCCCTCATGAAACTTTTCCCTCCCATACCTACGTAGTATATATTTGATCTGGAAATCTGGGAGGGAAATAAAATCTGGGTGAAGTACCAGATTGAGACTGATCAAATGGTACTTCACCCAATATAATATCTGATTAAATATTGCCTCTCAATCTGGTACTTCACCCAACTTCACTATTTTGGGGAAGAGTAAGAAGATCCAAACACCCCGGAAATGGGGTGATTCATATTTAATTACCACATTGAACATTTTTGCCAGTCAGCTCACCATCGTTGTAGCGCCATGAGCAGATGCGGTAATGTTGCTTCACCATTCAGGACTACAGATTTGAGTGGTTTGCCACTATTTTGACCCATATACCTAGTATCTTACAGGAAGGCCCGCCAGTCATAAGTTGGTTGATATCCGATCATTCCCCATCTAAGCAGAGATACATGTTTCCACCATAAGTCCAATTGTTAGCCCAGTTATCAACCAACTTCCCTATCTTAGGGACCCTTCCGAACATTCTCCATGTTTTCATCATAATCCCATGAAAATTCCCAAGTTCGAATGGTAGTAGAATCCCAATCTTTTCCCATAAATAGCCAAGAAACCATCATTCTGGGTAAACTTTGTGGCGACCCTAGCCAATGACCTCTCCTCAGAAATTTCTCCAATTTTTGATACTCCAACAACAACAACCACTAGTTGGGGTTATGTTTATCATGACTCCCAACTGGTTACTGGAATGACAAGTGTTTATCAGTCGACGAATATAGATACATAATTACGATACCAATCAAGTGATTTATCAATTTTATACTAATTATGCATGGTTACTATTGATAATCACTTGATATCTAATATTATCGTCTATCTTATATCACTATATTGATAAACATTTTCGATATCACTATTGAAATTTTACATCACCATTCATATCCATTCCCATTCCCAGAGTGACGATATTATATACATATAAGTATATCACTATTGATATCACTATTGATATACAATCCCAGCTTTATATTCCTAGGTATCTCAATAGTGAACTTTATCAATGTCCCAAGTGACACTATTATATCCATTATATATTCATATCGCTATCATATCTATCACCTCATAGATATCACTATTGATTAAAAAAATCCCAGTATTATATCATAGATATTGATATCACCTCATTGATATCATTTTATCATATAGATATCTCTTAAAATCCCAGTATCCATGAAAAATATTGATATCACTAAAACATACCTCAGTCAGATATTCCCAGTGACATGGCACACACATGGCGCTGCTGCTGTTAGGACAAGATCATGATCGATCAGTGCGTGGTGGAAACTGTCGAAGGCGGTTTCCCCGAGGTCAACAAGTTCGTCCACGAAAGTCACGTGGCAAGGGGGATTTAACCAGCAACAATGGGGATATGAATGGTGATTTAATAGGGAATTTATAAAAGATGATGGGCCAATGAAATGATATGGGAATTTTAGATAATCCCGATTTTCATCTATTTTGTGAAATAAATGAATGACATTTATCTTTATACGAATACAATCTGGGAGGATATTATGGTGAAATTAGATGAAATGTCTTTGGTTGTTTTTGAATGGAAAACTCCGTTCAAGGAAAACGATGACGCCGCCGCAAGAAGTATATGTTGGTGTTATACAGTAATATTCTGCTTAAATTTGCCACGACATCCCCCCAAACCTGCCATTTCTTCAGTAGCGCTCATCATCCAAAGCCATTTTCCCAACTTGGTGAAATCTGAGGCTCCAAAGCTCGGGATCCATGGTTTCTATCCATGGTGGTTTCCGAAGTCATGGGACCCTTAAAAATCATCCATTCTAGGTGCTTCCAATATACAAAATCCCTTAAAATCACTACCCCCATGACTTAGGAACCCCCCATGACTGGGGGTTTCATATGGGGGTTTCCTGAAATAGGTGGTACCCTTAAAAAATCATCCAGATTTTCATGAGATTTTCCATTCTAAACCAACCAGCTATTGGGGGATATCCCCCACAGCGTCCTTTCGGTGTCGACCAAGGCATCAAAAAGGTCCTCGATGAGGCCAATGGATCCTTCCAGCTCCGAGTTCAGGCCCGGCCGACCTGGCGGACCTGGCGGACCTGGTGGACCTGGTGGACCTGGTGTCATGGGGATACCCTCTGGTAAACTAACATAACTATGGAAAATCACCATTTTCAATGGGAAAATCCACTATAAATCACCATTTTCAATAGCTATGTTAAATTACCAGAGGGTAGATTACTAGATATTACTAGTAATTAGCAACCATCTAGTAATAACATCATCTAGTAATGACTAATATTAATTAGCATTACCCTCTGGTTATGACTAACAGTTCGCCATCGTATAGATGACCCTAATCGAAATAGATGGTTTACCGAACTTAAAAATGGGTGGATCTTTCCATGGCAAACTGTGAATGTCACAACCAGATGGTATCATCCAATGCATTTTTTCTATGCATTTTGGGGTACTAAACCATGCATGGAAACCAGGGGTATCCAAGCATGGTTGGTTGATAATGGAAAATCCATCTATAAATGGATGATTTTGGGGTACCCTATTTCAGGAAACCACCATATATCATATGGTCTTGCGAAGGTAAACAATTATTCATATTTTCCGCGAAAAGTGGCCGTTTCTGGATGATTGAATTTAGATGAATTTAGATCAACCACCTTATACTGTACGTATATATATATTATATTGGACATTATGTAATGGTTAAGAATCCAAAATGGTTATGAATGGTGATCAATGTTGATAATCATATGGTCAACCTACGAAGGCTTTAAACGCATGTATATATACATATGTATGTACATACACATGTATATGTATACATATATGGGTAGCATATACATACGAAACATAGATAGAAATACCAACAATCATATCCCATGTGTCGCAATTAAACTTGAGGAGGGTTTTGGAGCCACACATATACATATACATGTACATGTACATGTACATATACATATATATACATATATATATACATACACACATATATATATATATATTTGTATCTCTACATAACTGGCTTTGCGATGTACATTATATATGTATTATATATATATATCAGGTTTGTCTCGATTCATGCGTCACGCAACGGGAAACTGGGGTTTGACATCGTGGGCTGAAAGGGGTTCCAGTATGCTAGTATCATCATATAACTGTTACGATATTTAAAATATACATATAGACACAGTATCTCAGGAAAACTCCAGATATACCAAGTGCTCATGGTATCTTGCTGATACCCCGTTGAATCCCATTACATCCCATTGTATCCCTACTTTTCCAAATTAAGTCTGACATTCATAGTAAAACCACCTTCAACCACCACCTGCACCCAGCATTTTCAGCAGAAATCTCCAACATAGATCCGTCATATCACAGTACATCCCCATGAAAAACCAGGTATACGCCATATTGGTTGAGCTACCGAAAGTGGGATAGAATCAACTGAGGAATTATCATAATGTTTACTATATGCAAGTAAGATTATTATTTCCCATGATTATCATGTATTGGTTGATCATAGTCCCATGAAATTGGACATATCATATTCGCAAGAACATAGAAAAACCAGATATCAACTATCAAATATCCCAATAATTTTATTCTTACGAATTGCCAGGTGAATGAATATTCGTATTCTCACAACAATTTCCCAATTTCCGTATTGGTATTGGTATCAGTATATCAGTATCCCATGATCATTCTTGTCATAAATGTGTTTCATTATTATCAGTATTTTCTTGTTGGAATGACTGCCAGTCATTTGTCAAAATCTTCCCCTAGATGATTACCTATTGGTTGATCATGTCCTCATCAAATTGAGAAGGACTCATGATCAATACCCGGCCTGGTAAACGTACAAAAAACTATGGAAAATCACTATGATCTATCCCACATAAATATTATAGCTACCAAACATTTAGCTAGCTATATCAGCTACTAGTATATAGCTACCAATATTCATATGGAGGTTTCCTGAAATGGGGGTGCCCCTAAATCATTCACTTTATGTTCGGATTTTCCCTTGTAAACCATCCATTTTGGGGTATCCCCATTTATGGAAACACCATGAAACACCCATATTTCCATCCCTGCAGTGGGAAAGTTCACTGGCTATATCAGCTATATAGAGATACATGATCACAAATCCATCTGTTATTATACATATTGAACCAACATTGACACATCTTTGGGGCCCCGGGTTACCATAAATAGCTACAATGTGGTGCCACTAGTTATAAATTGGTTTATAAACCCCAGTAACTATAGTTATAAGTACAATAAACCATAGTTATTTGAGTTATAAACCAACTTAGCTATCTTGGGGGCCTCACCTTGTACCACTTTTTTATCCGATGGTCCGATGGTCGCAGGAGCTGATGCGCCGCCTGGACCGTGAAGGGTCGCCGCCGTCGCAGCGGGTCTTGCTGGGACGTAGCTCGATCCGGGCCTGGACGCAGTTCTCAGGAGCGCAGCATGCGGCACGCCGAAGTGGATACCCTCTGGTAAACGGTAATCATATTACCATTTAGTAATGATTTTAACATTTATACATATGATAGGTAATATCAGATACCCTCTGGTTATTTAACATAGCTATAATAAACTAGATATTACTAGTAATTAGTAACCATCTAGTAATAAGATCATCTAGTAATTACTCATATTACTTAGCATTACCCTCTGGTTATTTAACAGTTCGCCATGGAAAATGGCCCAAAGAAATAGATGGTTTACCTATTAAAAAATGTGATTTTGCATGGCTATGTTAAATAACCAGATGGTAAACGGTAATAAGAATGATGATATTGTATTTCTAAAAATGATTGTAAGTCTATAACTACCGTTTAACAATAGTAAATGGTAAGAATCATAGTTATTGTAGGTCTAATGATTAGAATCATAGTAATAAGAATGATGTAGTACTTGGTGGTTCATTCCCCGGATCGTAGGTTAGTTCACCCTAGTTTTTTTCGTGGATGAACCCTACTTATCCCACTGAAAAAACCAAGGTGAACTAACCTACTTACGATTCGATGAGCCAACTGGTGATGAATCTAGGGTTGAACCAGCAAAACTGAAGATTTTTTAATGGGTATCATGGGAAAACCCCCTCGATTCCTTGTATACTACTGGATCTATAGTTACCCATTTATCTTCAGGATACTGGACAAATAATATATATATATAATATTTAGAGATATAGTATATATAGTGTGTATATATATAGTATCTTCAACTTCAACCATCAATACTGGGGAACTCATGGGCATGAAACTATCATGAGCATAGTGCCATATTGGGGATATAGCAGGGATAGAATGTGATATGTGTTCGCAATATTGACTGAAACATGGTAGTTGAACCTTCAAAATTACGGGGGTTTTAACTTTTTAACTGGAAAAATGGGGATATTTGATGGTGTGTATGTATATATATATATAATATATATACATATGCAGCTTAATACGATTTGGAACGTCAAGGGTCAGACGGTGGGCCCCTGGGGAAATCTGATGGATTTTCCATTGAACAATGAGAATGTGTAGGACAAAAAGAATGGGATACATATCCAACCATACCCTCTGGTAAACTAACATAGCTATTGAAAATGGTGATTTATAGTGGATTTTCCCATTGAAAATGGTGATTTTCCATAGCTATGTTAAATTACCAGAGGGTATCCAACCAGATCCTGTAGGATTTTTCGAGGTGTGTCTGAAAATGAGGTGTGCAAAGGAGAAATCACACTTTTACGGAAAATGAGGATCGACCCTTGAATTTTGGGGCACCCTTTTCTCATACAAAGCCATCAATATATGGCTGCGTTCGGTTTATATATATATATACACTTGGGGGTTTGGCAAAATTTCCGAACGGTGATTTGGAATTAGATTTTAAGCAACAAAAACCAGAGATTAAAAAACAACTAGCAAAATGGATCATAACCAGCGAACAAAACTCATTGGTTCTGCAGTTTTTAGCCACAAGAAATGGAGATTCAGCCAAATATATGGGCAATGGAGCAATTTAATCTGGGTAAATTTGATCACGACCGAAGCCTGTTCTCCCGAACCCTAAAAAACACATGGTTTATGTGAAAAGGAACATCATCCCCTTTTATGGCCTTTATCTATTCAGGTGAACGTGACATATTATTTCATTTACCCAGATATATGTGTATATCTATATACCCTCTGGTAATTTAACACAGCTATTGAACATGTACCATTTATAGTTGATTTACCCAGATTTAATCCTTTAGCTTTAACGAAAAAAGAAATCGCCCCCGCCAAGATGATGAATTACAAATCTGGAGATGACCCTGAGCCTGTTGTGTTGCGAAGTTGACCGGCGGCTTTTGCATGACCAAATTCGCTGGTTCATTGGTTCATTTTCCCCAAATGGAAATTGGGATAGGCATAGCCCATTTTCAGGCACGCCAATTGATACATTTTTATGTGTCTTTGTTTTTATGTGTTGGATGGAAGAAATAGACCAAGCAGCTAAGAAACCAAAAAACCCTTGGCGTAGAGACACGTATCTACACTAAGGCATAGATGTTGACCTGAATACATGTGTCATTCTCATATGGAAGTTTCCTAAAATGGGGGGCACCCCAAAATGGATGGTTTATAATATATAGAAACTACCATTAAAATGGATGAGAACTGGGGGTACCCCTATTTCAGGAAACCTCCATATATATCCATATATCAACATCTCTGATCTATAAAATATACGCATACATCTGGGTGTTTCTCAGAATTAGGACTACCCGTTTCATGATTCGTTTCCGTGTGTGATAACTTGGGCCCATTCTCTGGAAAACTCCAAATGACCCAACATTTGAGGTTGGTAAATGATTGGAAACCAGTATAAATCAGCCAGATTTTTGGCGAAATCACACCCATTCAGGTGAATCTTGAGCCAGTTAAATCACAATCTTTCCCATATGCTCCATGTATGGAATATGTATCAACATTTACCCCAAAAATCATCCAAATGTAGGTAAATATACCATATAAGCATCTGGCTTTGCTGATTTTGGGGCCCAGCAAAAAAATCAGGAGTCCCCCAACTCCCAATTTTGGGTGTTCAGCATCATTTTGTTGGTGGTTACATCACCATTTTTGTTGATTCATTCACATTTTGGTTCGACCATCAACACTTCCACGACTTCGATTTGCCATGGGTAGATCCACCATGACGCGGGAATCTATTGGTAGATAACGATTTCTGTCCTGTGGCCCCCTGGATAGCAAATCCAAGATCATTGAAACCTGACCGCTAAGAACCACCAATTCAATCCAATTCATCATTAAATCCCCAAGAAATCACCATGGTCATCTATCTAGAGCCTCTTCCAAAGTTTTCCTTTTTTCATCCTCACCTTGCCAAAATCGGAGGCGCCAAAAAGTCATCGACTGATGGATCGGACGTCTGCGAGTCCCCACACGGTGATCTCTGAGGGAGTTCGGGCATTCAGTGAGTATAGAAAGCATCAAAGCTTCAAACATAATCCCCGATATTTCGCTAAGTTGGTTTGTAAGTAGATGAAAACTATAGTGATGATCTTGACTATAGTTAGCTACCGGTGTCATCAGTGAGAAATGCCTTTCTGGGCACTTCCCGATTTCATTTAGTTCGGGGATTTCCCAGGCACGTTTGATTACCGGAGGGTAATGCCATCAAACATGAAAAGCGATAGGACATGTTCTGATTTTAGTGTTCTCTGTGGGAGGAAATATAGGAAATCACCAACCCAAAATGGGGCCTTCACAATCAAACATGAAGATATTACATGGTAATGGGGCTGACAACAATCAGACATAGTTGCTTAAAAAACATCATCTTACCGTCTTTTATAGAAATAGTTGGATGATCCTAGTTGAACACATAACCCATAGGATCCATATATGCTATATATGGTAACATGGATCCCATCAATATACCCCAGTCATGTTAGCATATATACCAGCACCATGGATCCGTCATGGGTAATCATCCTCGTTGAATCATAAATGGCTTATGTGTCGATGTTTTCTGCGGTCACTAGTCACTAGGACTCCCTCAGGTCCGGAGCAGTTGATCCAGGTTTTGCTGCAGGTTTTGCTGCGACTTTGGGGCTGAAAACCTCACTAATGTTGAAAAAGGAACGATTTCCCCCGCAAAAAACAAAGGGAAGATCTGGAGGATTCACTGCAGAGCTGATGGATTTTCTCGATTTTTTTCGTTCTGAACTCAGTCAGACTGGGTCCTTTTGGAGACCAGTGGCAGCTGCCAGTGGTCCGTGTACAGACCATCGAATGGTGTATGGGGACCTGATGGGTACATCCATGAGCCCAACGTCAGGAACAAACAGCCTGAAACATACCGCCGTGGGGAACGAACATGCAACGAAATATGCAGTGTTTGTGTTCGGTTCAATACAAATTGACCCAGTTGCAACATGTTGCAACTCAATTTGCAAGAGAATATGGGCACGGGTCAAAGCCTAGTGCTACTATATTTTGGGGAATAACCATCCATAAACCATCTATTTTAGGGTACCTAGGGTACCAGGGTTTTGACTCATAGCCATATAATATCGGCATACCTACCTATAGTGGTAGTAGGCCTTCGCTTGATCGCGAACATCGATCAACGGAAAGCAATGATGATGGACTGTTGCAGTTGAGGCCCTTTTCCAGTTATTTGTATGGTGAAATGATAGGGTTATCATCCCATAAATGGAGTTATTGCACTTACTCATAAAAAGGGCCATAGCTCTGCGAATTCTTTGGCCTCTTAACGACAGATGCACGATGTGATGCTGATAGGACTGCGAACTCCATCTTTGACCCATCAAGTCTGCAGCGTGCAGAAGATATGGCGACACAAGTTCGCAGGCGCCACGTGCGCGACAACCTGAGGCCGAGAGAGACACGGGGACTCAATGGGACTCAGCCAAGCCATGGCCGCGAAACTCCGGTGGTTGCTCGAGCCATGTTGCAATCAGAGGTAGAAACTGGTGCCCCAGTAATATACTAGCCTGATCCAAGTTAATCCTTAATGATTACCCGGTTTACGGATTAGCCCGCAGACCGGGGCACACGTTCCACATTAACTATTTCAAATTAAATGCTTTGGGGCCTTCTTGCTTTCAAACAGCATTTACTTCTCGGGCGCAGCATAGTGATGAGTCTGGGGGAATCATCGCAAAATGGGAATTGCCCATTCAACTATGCAGTTTTGGGACGTGTATAGAACTGAACTACCCAAAACTGGAACTTAGAGTTTACAATACTTTGTTTGATTTACCAAATTTCATGATATTTCTTTGATCTGCGAATTACTTTGCCACGCTGAGTGCCCTGGGCCTAGTCCCCGATGACTCACCGGACGTGCTAGCGTCAATGTAAAGTCGCAACTGGTGGACGAAGGTTGGTGTGGTGCAAGCCGTGGCACGGGAAGAATCCCCAAATGAGACAACTCCACGAATTCCGGATTTCAGGTACTCTTCTATTTTGTTTGTTGTATACAACCAGATTCAGATATCCTGTAAAAAGCATGATGTTTGATTTATTTCCACATTTTTGTTTATGAACAAAACAGAGCGTTCAAAATGTTCGCAACGACCAGAGATACTCTGCTCATTTCATTCGCAGCCCCCCCAACCTTCCCTCAGTTGCGGAGTAAATCTACCGCCTTGTGCGGAGTTTAACCCTTGCCTAGCTCGGCAACCGCAGTTAAACGCCGACAGAAAAGTCCCGTGGCCAAGGTTGCCGTGTTGGTCCCTCTTGGAAGACTTGGCAGGGCAAACATCATCTGAGGTGGTTCGTATCAAATAACAAACTAGCAATAGCTAAGACCACTTATTGATTTTGGTGAGTATGTAATATGATAATGCTTGCAGAGGGTAAATGGTAGAAACCCTTTTTGTGGCGCGTCATCTCGGGGGGCGCATCCGAAGTATCGCAACGGGGCAACATAAGAAATTCAATACAATGCTACAACTTATTGATTATTCTCCGATTATTACTATATATTACCTTAATTATTGGTTAATCATGATTATTATTAAGTGCGTAATATCATACATGGCTAGTGTATAGTTATGGCTTAAGCATAAAGCGTCCATTCCTAGGGCCCTGGGGCCTCAGACCAGCCACATGTTTGCTTATAACGGCCTCAGTGCGACCTCATGGAATCATGCAGTATCATGCTTAGTAAGGGAAATCATGCCCAAAATGGCCTTATTCAGGTCAGTGAATTATCAATTTGCCCAGATTGGATGTTTTTTGGTGGAATCCCCTTTTTTGTTAATCAAGTCAACTCTTTTAAATCCAACATATTCCTGATTCATGGGGGAAGCCCAGGGCCAGAGACAACTAAGATTTGGGGATGGTGTAAAGAACACCCACATTTTTTGAGCGGGGGATCATGGGGAGGTGATTTTTGAATGAAAATGAGCACAAAACACTGTAACTACCCATGTTTTCTGCATCTGGTGGCTCTGAAATCGAGGCGAAACGCAATTTTTTGCATCTTGTTTTGCAATGATGCTCGAAAAACATTCGCAGGCACCAAAAAAAAACCATAATAATTTCACAAAACATTGGCAGGCACCAAAAATAACAAAAAACACAGATTTCCAATCTATGGAGGTCCAGAATCCTGAGTAGATGCTGGGATTTTGTTTTCTTGTTTTTTTTGGTGCCTGTCAGGGTTTGGTGCATCTAGTTTTTTTTTGGTGCCTGCCAATGTTTGGTGGCTTTGATCTCTCAAAATACTGGCAGGCACAAAAAAAAACCAAGCACAATCTCACAAAACATTGGCAGGCACCAAAAAAAAAAACACAATCCCAGCGTCTACTTAGGACTCTGGATCCCCATAGACTGGAAATATGTTTTTATTTTGGGCCTGCCAATGTTTTGTGAGATTGTGCTTTGTTTTTTTTGTGTCTGTGCAGGTTTGATGAGCTTGCTTGGTGTTGAAAAGGAAAGACCGTATTTACATTGTTTTTTTGTGCTCATTTTCATTCAAAAATCACGTCCCCATGGTCCCCAAAACGGTCGGAAAGTCGTGCTTTGCCAAGTGGCCGTTCCGATCAAGTCTAGCTAGATAGGCTTAGTGACAGTGAGTACCAGTATTGGGATGTTTTGAGATATTTATATCAGAAAATCCTGATTGTCCATGCATAGGGGAGGTGATTTTTGCTGTAAAACCTGGGTTTTGGACCCCTTTACATCACAAAACATTGTAAATATCAGTATTTTGTAAGGGTTTTGAAGCAAAAATCACGTCCCCATGAACCACCGTTCTGGATTTTTTTCGGGGGATGATGATTTTCCATAGCGACGTTCAATTACTCCAGGATCAGTTCCCGTCACATTCCCATATTCCCATATATTTCCATAGATTTCTCCTTGAAACCGATTATATATATATACATATATTCCACAGATCCAGCATCCACCACCGGATATGGATGGGGGAACAGGATTGGAGAGAATCGATCAATGGTATGAATATTAGGATATTGATGGATTTTATGGTATGACAAAAACATCTGGGGATATAGTGGGGAGAGTATATGATAGTATATGACCATTTGTGATTTGAATATCTTTCCAATGAGATTTTTAAAATATGGGATGAGTGTCTTGTACATCAATCATCAATCATCATCCCATCTTTAATGGGATATATCTTTCCCATCCTTGAATATATTTAAAAAAAGTGTTATGATGGGATGTACAAGAATGGTTTACATCTTTGGTCGGGGGGTTTTTGTCTCACCGATGGGATGATTGGGGAATTCCAGGGTGGCGCCGGTACCACAACTGACCAAAATAAAAAAGTGAGATGAATGGTTTTTTGCCAGTCAGTTTTTTGGACACAGGAACATCATTTTTTTTGCTTAAGAAATGAGTATAAGACTATGTTTGACTATGTTTCCTGAATCATTGTCCACAAGTTATGCAATAACTTATTCATAAATTACAGCAATTCCCAAATAGAAACGTTGGAAACCTGGAAATCATCAGGACACCATAAACTATCTCCTCTGGTAATGACTAACAGTTTGCGAACTTGAAAATGGCCATGGTAATAGTGGATTTACCCATTAAAAATGGGTGGATTTTCCATGACTATGTAAACGTTTACCAGAGGGTATCCTAGAAACACGTTTCCATCTTTTTTTGGGGGCGCTGTAGCAGCAACAATTCCTGCCATGGTGGCGCTGTGCAGCGCCGTGGGGTCGAGTTTTGTGCTCGGGGCCCAGAGATTTTTCATGGGATACACATGGCTGGAAAATCCCGGAACTCAAAGGAGGTAAAAAAACTGGGAAAATTATAGAACGAAATGGTGACTTCTCCATTGCCAGGTAGTGGAGGGTAAAGGAACCACCAAAACGATAGAACAGTTCAAGATAGTTCAATGGTTTGGCAGGATGGTTCGAGGATGGGATTTTGATGGAACTGGAGAAAATCATTGGACTCATTTTGTGACAGCAGGACAATGATGAGGTCATTACATGAATGGAACTTGGTAAATTTTCCCTGCAAAAAAAATTGCAACATAGAAATCCTAAAAGGTGTGCCTAAACAGAGAATAAGGCGCGGCGTTTTCGCCCCCGAGGAAAAATGGAGCAAAATTTCGAGCAAATCCGAAGGATTTAACTGACAGTTCGGTCTCCTGAAGCTCTGGTTTAGGCTAATTCCTAACTACTGGTACCCTCTGGTTATGTCAAAATAGCTATTGAAAATGGCCATTGAAATAGTGAGTTTTCCCATTAAAAATGGGTGGATTTTCCATAGCTATGTTAAATTTCCAGAGGGTAAATTAGGTTTTACTTTTGAAGCTTATTTTCTATCTATCAGTTAGTTAGATGAACAATCTACATTTGTTCAGATAGTTTCTTTGAATAACATCCTTTTTTTATTAACAACCTCAAACACGTTCAACATGTTGTGGATATAATTGCAAGCAAAAAATCAAAGTTTGATGATTAAAAAAAATAAAATAAGAAAACAAGATCAACCCAGAGAAAAAACTGCTGGGGCCCCACGTCCAACAGTTGCCAGCTGGGGGGGGGCCTGACGTCATATTCTCTTAGTACCTGTCCATTGTGTCTTGCTTGGATTATCCTATCTTATCTTACAGGGGTTGGTAAATGTCCCATTTTGGGAATATTGAACATCACCTGAAAAAGTAGCCATTTGGTTGACCATATACCATTCATGGTTGGGTGATGTGAAAAATGGGGACATCAGTCATTACCCATGTCTTACGCCCTATCATTTTATATACACTTTGTCCTTAGGCCCCTGCATGTTATTGAATGTTTTTTAGAAGTCCCATCCCTCCCCTGGCACCACACGGGGATCATACAACGAATTGCCGTAACCTGAAAGATACCCTCTGGTAATTTGTTACATAGCTATGGAAAATCACGGTTTTATATGGGAAAATCCACTATTTCTATGGCCATTTTCAATAGCTATGTTAAATTACCAGAGGGTATGGGGAATCAACCATATTGGTGATTTATGTCGACTTCACCACGACCTTACCAGATGAGTTTATTTCATGTTGGCGAATCCTTCTAATTCAGCCAGATCTATGGTATGTCTATAAATATGCCTAGGCCACTTTTGAGGCAATCGTAAGTACCTAGGATGTGGGCCAATAAGCAATGCGAACCCAATGTTGATTGATGGTAATTTAAGGTAATACTACATAATACTACTACCCTCCCATAATCAAACACGGACATGGAAAAACCATATTAGTTTGATGATTTTCCCATGAAGGCTTGCATTTAGTTCGGGGATTTCACAGCCATGTTTGATTACCCAATGGTAAACGGTTTAATGGGCATTTGCTGGTAGGCTTCCTGACGTTTGCAAATGGCATGGGCTAGAATTGCAGTGGGGCTCCATATTCGTAGTCTACTCACATGTTTCGGGGGTTTTGGGGTTTGGTTAAAACCAAGTGTTATCAAGATGTGTTCGAAAAGCCAGTCAGTGCCTAAAGTGGACCAAGGATTGGTCGAGTAAAAAAATAAAGATCACTAGAAACATAAGAAGAGGAACAAGGTGGGGTGTGCGTAGTTATAAGTTGGTTGATAAAAATAACCCCCATCACCGATCTAGTTATGTCGTCACCATAGATCCAATTGTTGATCGAAGGATCGAGCAACTTAGCTAACTCGGACCCCACCTGATAGCGGGGCGATGGTGAAACCCGGTTCGGGCCCCGCAAAATATGTAGTTGGTTTATTTTACTAACGATTTTTTTAAATCATGGTGAATATGAGTCGAACGAGCCAGAGTCATCAACCAACCAGCATAACTCCAGGAGCCCGTTTCCGCCGTTTCCGCTGCCACAGCTGCTCCGAAAGAAAATCGCGCCCGATAAGCCGACCCCGACGCGGGTGCGACCGACCTCCTTTTCTTCACCCGAGAGAAAGGACAGGGCTTCCAGGGCTTGTGATATCTCCATTTTGTTTGAATTTATTTGGTAGTTGGTACCAAAAGAACAATAACTGGCCAGTGGCCCATATGCCATAAAAATTGGAGTCTCCAACAAGAACTAACAATTTGGACAAAGATTTGGTCCCCCCAAAAAATCACTGTCTTGCATCAACTTTGCCATGATATATTGTTTATTTATTCCATTTGTGGACACTAAAATGTGACGGTCATTGTAATATATGTATATGTATTTATATACCTTACAGTATCCCTATCATGAATGAATCGTATATATGCTCCCTACTATTTAACTATCCCTAATATTAATCCCATTCATAGTCATCACTAATCAGTATTTCTCCATTTATGTATCCCATTTATGATTGTATGCATGTTTCTCTCTCTCTGAGACTTTCAATGAGTGAATGCAAAATGCATTTACATTTGCACCAACTATTTCCTCTTAGTATATTTATCCTTGGTTGGTGGTTTGGAAGATGAATTTTATTTTCCCATATATTGGGAATTTCATCATCCCAACTGACGAAGTCATATTTTGCGGAGGGGTGGCTCAACCACCAGCCAGTATCCCATTGACCATCCCTTTAATGGACATAGACCCGCCAAATAGGAGGTTTTCCAGACTACTTTCCAAAATAAACATGGAGACTCAGGGTCTATTTTCAGGGGATGGTATCCCATTTATGGTCCCTAATATCAATCCCATTTATATCCATTTATCCCCAGTAGCCATTTATCCCATTTATCCCATTTATCCCATTTACCATCCCTGAAATGAACATGGCACCTGCCAAACTAACTCAACATGGTATAAAATTTTTATGCATCCCAAATTTATCATTCGTCCCACAAGAAGGGCCAGTCTAACTATTTCGATGTATCCACCATGAATCTAGTGCTTCGCCTAATTTAATGTCATAAACCCAGCTTATCTGTCATAATTTTTTGATTTAAATCTCAATTTTTGGTCGTTAGATCCTAATTTTTAAGGTCCTATCGTTTGGGCGCCCCGAAAGTTTAATGGTTCCACCATCACCTCCAAGAAGTGATCGTTTTCCCCACGATATCCGATGCCATACCACTCTTTTGGTTGGTTAAATGATTTTAAAGGTCAATGTTTAGACTGAACCTTTCAACCTCCAGGATAGATAGGCTTGTCTGAAAACAGCTGTTACCCCGGTTCATCATCCCAAATCCACTGCGAAAAAATCTTCAGGACCCCTATGGAAAAGACCATAAATGAAGGATATACTCCATTTTCACACACACATTCACATCTCGTATTATTGGTTGAATATCCCATCAAATCCCGATGAAATCGATGGTTCCACAAGCATGTTTTTATTTTTTTCAGACACACCAAATATCCATTATCTACTGCTTGGTTATGTATATATATGTATATATATCTATCCAATTGAATCACCATTTTACATGTGTATATATACATATATATATACACGCAAAACACACATATATATATATACATATATATATACAATACATATATATACATATATATATATATGTATATATATATATGTATATACATATTTAGAAATAACTGCATGTATCCATACACCATGCATGCCGTTTCCATCAACAAGCGCTGCAGGATGGCATCCATGCGGGCAAATGACCGAGCATGGACGGAGCACAAGATGGGTCGGTCGGGGCCTCGACGACCCACCTTGTGCCTTGGCCGATGGATTCAGCCGATATTTTGGTGTCGAAGATATGGTAGGGAGATCTGTGGGATATATCTGAAATAGATGGGATATACTATAGAAATTGATGGACCATGGCAATTTCAATGAGGATTCATGGGATTCTTCATGTTTTTAGATGGGTTGTCATGTTTTTTTTTGCAACTAAGAACAGGATTTTGACCTAAAAAACAGAATCCGCAAGTGATTTTTCCAAACAGCGTGAGGGCTATGATTGCTGCAATCATCCCATCCATCGGGGTACTGATCACGTGTCATAAACCATAGCTACTGGGGATGGTGATAATTGTGGATCCCACGTGATCAGTCCCAGGGTCCATGAAGGGATCAGCAACTGCGGTCTTTTCGATTTTTTTTTTCCTCCAGTGAGTTTTTTATTGGAAATATTCCACAAGAATGATTTTCATAGTTTTAAGCGAAAATGGGTTAGACCTTCAAGGAATACCCTGGGTCGAAGTGGGATTGACCAGGACGATCCTTCAATAGAACAGGCCCAAAAACTACGGACAATTTTTTTTTTTTTAAGATCATGTCCAAACGGGAAAACCATGGGTTTGTCCATACCTTTGTGTAAATAAGAAATGGAGCTAAGAGTATTGGTGAAATGCATTCCTGAATGTATTTTAATCCTGCTTTTGTGGGACTTGGCGGACTTAACCAGCAAATGGGGAAATATATATATATATATCATATCTGGGTAAATTATAACGACCTCACTGTTCTCCCGAAGCCTGGAATCATGGTGAATATTATAGGGGAATCATCCCCAAGATAGCCGGACTTTTCAGGTGAGTGAATTATCATGATTTACCCAGATATATCATATGTATATGAGGGTGTAATAGGATACTCTGTGGTATATGATTTGCTACAGTTTGCATGGACAGTCATCATTTTTAAACTTGGGCCATCTATGGCCGTGTTAAATCACTGGTAGATGGACAGGTGGGTTCCATTTTGTCCGGATTTGGGAATCACAAACAGATCATTTTTCCATTTTTTTTGTCAAGATGTAGCGGCCAGAAATCTCTCCTGGGAGCTCAGCTAGGTCTTACCTTTCCAACTTCGCCAGGATGGATAGCGCTTGGAACCAACAGCAGTCTCCATTGAAGCCGGGAGAAGTGGAGAATGACATCGATGAGAAGCCAAACTATCAGAAGAAGGCCAGGAGTATCGGTGCTTCACGGCAGGCTTATTGGATCATGCCAATTTTGGTACTGTTTTCTCTGGTAATGAATCACAGTTTGCTATTGAAAATAGCCATTTACAGTTGATGACTACCCATTCAACAGGGTGATTTTCCATAGTTATGTTGGTTTACCAGAGGGTAAGTCTAAGTGGTTTACAGCTATAACTATAGTAAGTCTCGGATTTGTGAGGTAATCCCATTAGAAAATGGCTAAACAACTCATAGGTTGTGGGATTACAACATGGCTAAAGATGCTAAAGTTATCATAGCGAAGCACTGACGATTCCTGGAATTGTCCTCCAGGGGATTTGGACGGCGGGGATGGAGGTGGGTTCGGACAGCCATTGCTGATGATTTTTACAGGCTGCCAATAGATCCATCCAACTGTACTAGATACGAGACAATTCATGAATTATCATGACAATTCATGACATATATATATAATTACATATATAGATAGATAGATAGATAGATAGATAGATAGATAGATTAGATAGATTAGATAGATTAGATATATTAGATATATTAGATATATTAGATATATTAGATATATTAGATATATTAGATATATTAGATATAGATATAGATATATTAGATGTAGATATCCACTGTCTACCTTCCCGCTAGTCCCTTATTTTGTTTTTTTTACAAGATATATGAATATCCACCTTCTAATATTTCTTGGGTGACGTTTTTTTTCGGGTCATTCGAGAAGCCCCCCTGAAAAAATCAGGACCACTTTTGATGGTTTGCTTATATGATGTGAAAACTCAAAATTTTCGACCTCCATTTTAAAGCCTTTTTTTATGGCATTATGAAATTATTAATCCTTGTGAAAAGAAAGACGCTTAACTCCGGGTCACCTTTATTGATATTATCATTATCTTTATGTGTTTTTTCTTATGAAATGACCCGGTGTCCCTAGTATGCTCGGGTTATAAAACGAAACACAGGTTGTGGGACTGAGGGGCCCCTGATTTATACAGGTTTCTGGTCCTAAATTTATAAAATGACAACACGTCCTTTGAACCTAGGGCCAAACATGATTGGCACTATATAAGCCCGTTTTTCAAAAAAGAAACACTGTCTAAGATTTTATAACTTTTGGAATTACCATTTGTGAAAAACAGCATTTTTTAATTATAACTTTATAAGCCCAGTCCCCTTGGGGGTTTGTCATTTTACCTTGGGGGTATCCTGGCATCAAATGGCGCCATCCAGGTTGCAGGCCATGGCCATTTGCCATCTTCCAACTGCCATCTTCCAACTGCCATCTGCTATTTGCCATTCATACCATACTACACCGGTAACATACAGAAACAATACCGTACATATGTAAGTAAACTGAACACACACTAATGTATATATATATATACACACGTGTATACACATATATATATATCATTATATACATATAGCAGTAGATATATAACAGTACATAAATACACACGTATGTATACAGATATCGGTTTGTTTTCCAAATGCACTCCATTTTGTAGCCATTAGACACGAACGTTATCACAATGCTTGTGAAACGATTGACAACTTCATGTGAAATCGCTGTTTTTTTTTTTTGTGTCACAAAACACAGCATTAACATCTCTCAACTAGACCATATACTCTTAATGGGTTAATGATGCTCAACACAGCATATACCCATTAACCTCTGACATCATTTTTATGATGTGGACTATATACCCATATACCCTCTGGTAAACTAACATAGCCATGGTATAGATGGCCCATAGAAATAGATGGTTTACCTATTGAAAATGGGTGGGTTTTCCATAGCTATGTTAGTTTACCAGAGGGTATATTAACTAATCCATTTACCAGCTATTTTGGGGTGAACAAAAGGTACCAGGGTTTTGACCCATCCCCATATGATGTGGACTATATACCCATATAGATTCTAATAATCATTTAATGGTGATTAACCCTCAGGTAATGGAATATTAATGGCTGGTTGGTGGTTTGGAACATGAATGGATTATGACTTTCCATATAGATTCTAATAATTTTCATACGATCCACGGTGGATTTTCATCCCATTTTTCCATCCGAGCCTTCCAAGGCCGGTGCACCGGAGACGGCGAACAGCGCGACCAGCGTGACCAACGGCGCGGCCCGTGGCCGCGGGGTGAAGTTTACCTCGGAGCCCGCCGCAGCGCTGAAGCTCATCGACACGGAGAAGTGGCTTGGGCCCAACGGGGGATTTTTTTTTTGGGAAACGAAGGGTACCCGGCCTGGTAAACATACAAAAAGCTATTGAAAATGGCTATTTATAGTGAGTTTTCCCATTAAAAATGGGTGGATTTTCAATAGCTATGTTAAATTACCAGAGGGTAGAAAGAACTCATCATTCCACTTCTGGTTGGTGGTGACTGGAACATGAATGGATTATTTTTTTCCATATATTGGGAATGTCATCATCTTAACTGACGAACTCATATTTTTCAGAGGGGTAGGTATACCACCAACCAGACTTAATAGCTGGTTTTTGGGATAATCACCGACTGACAAAAATGGAATAAGCCTAGTGGACATACTAACCAGGGTTATTACCCTCTGGTAATTTGTTACAGTTTGCTATGGAAAATCACCATTTATAGTAGGTAAATGATCAATGGTCCATTTTCAATAGCTACATTAAGTTACCAGAGGGAAGAACAACTCATCAGAGATGCTGGTGATAGGAGACATGGTTTACCCAGTTTACCCATGATAGGAAATTATTATAGAAATGATGTATTGACATAGGAGACATGGTGGTTTTAGACATCAAACAAATCATGATTTCATGAGGGGATGATGTGGATGATGTGGATGCAAACGTGTCAGACATGGTACCCGGCCTGGTAATGACTAACAGTTTGCGAACTTGAAAATGGCCCAGTCGAAATAGTGGATTTACCCATTAAAAATGGGTGGATTTTCCATAGCTATGTTAGTTTACCAGAGGGTTCCCATTTAAGTATCGAACACTGCGATTGAAGTGTGAAGAGCTGTGGTGTGACCAACAATCATCACAAATGGCCGTAAAACACCATGATGTAGGTGGGATTTACCATCAGACATGGGGTAGAAAGCTGGGACCACATGTCGATTTTAGATTGCCATTTGGTTATTGAACATAGCTATGGAAAACGGACCAGTTATAGATAATTCATGTTGATATTTACCTCTTAAGCATGATGATTTTCCATAGCTACGTTAAATACTCAGAGGGTCATGTGGTAAGTGCAATAACAAAGCTCCAATGGAGATTTTCTGGTAAACCATCAGAAGACAACAGAGAAAATCGAAGTTCACCCCGGCAGGGTGGATGTACATCCCACGTAATTTTTTTGAGGTTTCCAAGCAGTTTGTTAAAAAAATGCTGGGTTGAAAAAACGGGATATTTCCGGTGACCTGGAATGACATACCCTCTGGTTATGTCAAAATAGCTATTGAAAATGGCCATTGAAATAGTGGATTTTCCCACTAAAAATGGGTGGATTTTCCATAGTTATGTTAGTTTACCAGAGGGTAAAAGTAGCTATCGTAGGTTTGAGTCACATTGGAGAAGCCATGTTTTTTTTTTAACCAGATTTTCCCGATGAAAATCGCGAAAAAATCTAGGTTGTCCATCCAAATTTTTGCGACCCACCCAAATCAAAGAAACCCAACCTATAATATAGAAATTTGGATCTGATTTCACCATCATCTAGAAATCCTATTATTCTCATTCTTGTTTTTTTAGTGAATTTCCAATTTCTATTAAGATATTTCTCCATACTTTCCACCATCATTTTTCGGAATACCATATGGAGGTTTCCTAAGTCATGGGGGTACCCCTAGTTATCATCCATTTATAGATGGATTTTCCATCAACCATCCAGCTATTGGGGTACCCCGAAGTTAGTTAGGAAACCCCCCATATCAATGGGAATTTCAGGATCCAACAGATGGAGGTACTGTACCATATAAGGGCATATTTTCTAGGGATATTCCCTTACATAGGCCTAAAAAATAGGCCTTATATATGGTAGGTACCTCCAATTTAGGTTCCTGAAATATCCTGAAATGATCATTGATATCATAGCAGTTTGTCATTTTCCGTACCAGGCGTGGCGCGCAGCCCGGCACCTGCATGGCACCCTTGCAGTACCGCGCCGGCACGAACGGCACGAACGGCACGAGCGCGGAGAACGACTCCATGATGAACCCCTTCGCAAAGCCTTGGACGCCGCAGGAGTGGTGACCAGAAAAAATATGGGGAACTCTATGGTATCCAATAGGTATATTAACTAATGAAAATGGAGGTTTTATAGTGGATTTAACCACTATAAATGGTGTTGATGGTGACTTATCCTCTGGTAAACATACAAAAAGCTATTGAAAATGGCCCATTTAGTTCGTGGATTTACCCATTAAAGATGGTGATTTTCCATAGCTATGTTAGTTTACCAGAGGGTATATTAACTAATTATATGGTAAAGGGGGGATATGGAAGGGAAAAAAAAATGGTGGAAAAAGTTGTGGCAATATGATAAATTAACATAAATTAACTATATCCATTAATGGTACCAACTGTATTTCCAATTTCGTATATAAGTATATCATAGTATATCCAGTTGTGGCATTTCAATAGGGCAAATGATGAGAAGTGGATTTAGAAAATTTAGACTCCCCTATTTTCGGAGAAGCCCGTTTCGTAGGGATTGAACCATGAAAACATGGAAGTTTTAATTGGAGAGTCTATATACGTTATATTATATTTTTTTATATTACATTATATTATATTATATCATATCATATTATACTTCATTGTATTTTATTTTATTTTATTTATATTATATTACATTATATTATATTTTATTTTATTTATATTATACGTATATATATATATAGAGATCTTGATACATGATGATTGATGTTTATTGATCCTCCCGGGTGATGGAAGCAACCAGTAGAATCAGAGGGATTTGCCCTGTAAACCGACCGTTTGCGAACTGGAACATCCCGTGTTTTTTTAAAGGTAAATTTAAAGAGTTTTTATGGGCCATGTTGCCATGTTCAATAGCAAACTCTGAAATTACCATAGCCATTGAACATCACAATGTTTAAGTTCGATAAATCATCTATTTCGATTAGGGCCATGGCTTCAATGTCGCAACCTCTATTAGCGTTTCCAGCAGGTCGTACTTCCCATCCATCCCGTTGCAGGTGGGGCAGTTCCAACCCATCGGGGTGATCCAGCAACCCATGCAGCAGATGCAGATGCAGCAAATTCCACAGATGCAGCAGGCAGAGACCTGGAAGACCTGGAAGAAATGGAAGACCTGGGAATCATCCCCTGGAAAATTCGCCGCCTATGGGCAGACTTCAGGGCTTATGAAGTTTCAGGACTTTATTTTCAAAAAAAGAGACTTGTGAATCTTGTGAAGTCTAAGGTTAGTGATTTTTTTTTTTTGTTTACCCTCTGGTAAATTAACGTAGACCCTGGCAGATAGGGGTTGGAAGACTAGTTTCCATTAAAAATTGGTGATTTTCAGGGTCTATGTTTATTTACCAGAGGGTAAAACATTTTCCAAACGATGTATCTGATGTTAGGGTCATCCCATGGACCCAGTTGAGTTGTGGCTGGTGAAAACTGATCGTGGCTGATCCATATCCCCATCCCATGGAAATCCCCATATGACTGGTTTTTGAAGATGGGAAAATTCAAGAAAATTGATGACTATTATTGAATTTTTATGATTTGATGGCTATTAGTTACTGTTTTTTTGATGACTATTATCTAACGACCATAAAACACCCGCTTTTTTTTCCCTTAAAAAATGGGCCATTGAAGCGGGTAATCCTCCAGTTCCGCCATATGTTTTCCCTGAATCCAACTAATTGAATCCCATGGAAATCACCAGATTTTTCATGGGAGTACCCGGCCTGGTAAACTAACAGTTTGCGAACTTGAAAATGGTGATTTAGTTCGTGGATTTACCCATGAAAAATGGTGATTTTCCATAGTTATGTAAACGTTTACCAGAGGGTAACTCCCATGAAATCAGCATTTTTCAGGGTAAAAATGGTCATATCCCAATGGTTGCCACAGAATCCGGGGAGCTCAGTTCAGGGCCTGCAACCGCTCCAGTTGGGACAATATCAGCAGATGCCGCAGCAGATGCCGCAGCAGATGCCGCAGCAGATGCCGCAGCCGATGCCGATGCCTGACGCAATGGGGAGATTTTCGCTGCATTTGGGATTTATCCATCTTAACTATGGAGGATGCCCCCCAAAGTGGTGATTTTCGCTGGTGCAGATGTGTTTCGACTGGAAAAAACATGGGAAATCTAGAGGATAGCCCCAAATCTATGGCAATTTCATAAGGAAAATGATGGAAGATGATCATCGGTGGATTTTGGGGCATACCCCTTGGACAAATCCACATAGTTGATGGGATAGATTATACGGGGATATAATGGGTACAGGATGTCATATATGGCCAATTACATTAGGGAATGAACATCTACAATGACATAGCCATGGGTATACATTAACAATAACTATCTACAACTACATTAGGGAATACATCTATAGATGGAATGAGCATAGCAGCTGCAATCTTGGGGAGTTAACATGATTTATATAACCATCTACTATGGGTGTTGACCACTAACAATAGGGATACAATGTGATATAATTGCTTATCAATGATGGTGAACAGTGACTCGCAAAATGTAGCGTTGGTTGATGATGATTGCAATTTATGCGGATATTGTGGGGATTTAATGGGATACAACTTTATATATCAGATTTTTCATGGGGATATTTGACCATCGCTTTGAAATGTTTTGAATGGACTTTTGACCATCAAAGATATGCGGTTATTTAATTGAACAAACGATGGTTGGTTGATGTTTTTTCCCTGTTCTCGCAGGGGTGGTTATTAACCTACCCTTTAGGTATCTGGGAATTGTCATACTCCATGAACTAGGAATCACCATGGAAAACAACCATAGAACCATACCCTCAGGTTATTCAATATAGTTATGGAACATCAATATGTGTAATATGTAAATCAGCGAACTAGATGGGCAATTGTTCATAGCTATGCTAGATTACCAGAGGGTAACTTATGGATTTCCCAATAGGTTGAACTTGTTCCACAGCTTTGCTGAGGCTCTGAGGCTCGCTCTTGTGTCTATCTTTAAGACATACTGATGGTAGACGTGTCCTCTGGACCATAAAAACAGAGACCGTTGAAAAACCACAGTGCGACCGTGTCCATCACAATGTACAATCTACGTGTGTACCGTAGACCCACATGTGCCTATCATATTTTCCTTACATCGATTCAACACAAAGTTTTTTTGTAGCCTCCAGTAAACTAAAACATCGATATGGAAAAACACATTTTTGTTCCCTTGAAAATGATCTTTGAATGGTGGGTTTTTCCACATATGATATATGGTATCTATACTGATGATGGTGACAATAACAGCAATCCCATCCCCTAGTAACTCTAGTATTTCAACACGACCACAAACCATGGTTTCGAAGGGGATCTATCCCTATATAATTGGGACCATACGGGCGGGATGGGATTCCATATATATATACATATATATATACATATATATATATATCTATATATCATGTTTTTTCACACATGTATACTACACAGTGATTTCTGGGGATGGGATTTTCATGATATGTGTGTTTTCCAACAAACCTTCCATTCGTCTGCCATGGCAGGATCATCATGGCAGGGTCATGGCATCTGTGTTGGTCTTCATTTCCATCATCGTCATTACCCTCTGGTAATTTAACATAGCTATGGAAAATAACCATAAAAATAGTGGATTTTCCCATTGTAAATGGTGATTTTCCATAGTTATGTTAGTTTACCAGAGGGTAATAGTAATGTCTCAAAATGTTTCAAACGAACATCGTCTCAAAATGTTTCAAACAAACATAGTCAAGAATAGTTGTTCATAATCTTTAGCTGATAATTTGATCTACTCCACTACAGTAACATAAAACATAGTCATTAACAATGACAACTCATTTCCATATGCATTACATAATATTACATAATATTACATAATATTACATAATATTACATAATATTACATAATATTACATAATATTACATAATATTACATAATATTACATAATATTACATAATATTACATAATATTACATAATATTACATAATATTACATATATTCAGAATATTCAGATTTATTAGGGGGGACCGACTTACTGGTGCTTAGTAGGGAATGGGGGAATGATCTATAACAACTATTAACCATCATCCCAGCAACCCCCATTCCCTACTAAGCACCAGTAAGATTGCCCTCTGGTAAAGTAACAGTTTGCTATGGAAAATCATTCTTTTAATAGGTAAATAAACCATTATTATGGGCAATTTTCAATAGCTAGCTGGTTGGTGGTTTCAATATTATTATTATTTTTCCATCTATTGGGAATCATCATCCCAACTGACTTTCATATTTTTCAGAGGGGTAGGTATACCACCAACCAGACTTAATACGTGGTTTTTGGGGGAATCACCCACTGACAAAAATGGAATAAGCCTACTGGACATACTAACCAGGGTTATTACCCAACCCGAACATCAAAAATGGTGGTCTTCGTGCCGAATCGAGGCCCAATGCTCCGATGCCCGGGACGAACGGGACCATGCCCAATGGCACGGTTGGATGCTTCTACGCCACGCCCACGAACCATGGCACGAATGGTGGTTGGATCACCATGGTGGGAATTGGGTTATCCCAGGGAGTATGATGCATGTTTTTTTTGACCTAACATGGCCTGCGATGGATAGCTCCGTAACATGGTCAAAACCATGGTCGACCTACCATGGGTTTGTTTTCCCCTAGGGGGATCATCCAGAAAAATAGGGTTTACCATGGTTTACCCGGCCTGGTAATGACTAACAGTTTGCTATTGAAAACAACCATAAAAATTAGGGGATTTACCAATTGAAAAATGGTGATTTTCCATAGTTATGTTAGTTTACCAGAGGGTAACATACCTATAGGGATTCCCATTCTTTGATGGATGACCATAGCATGGAACAACCGTAGTTTTGTTGTTCCTGATCCTGTTCAGCCTGTTCAGCTGTCCATTCTTTACCTACTTGGATCGTTCCACTGAATAACTGGTTATTGGGATGATCACCCGCTGAAAAAAATGGAATAAGCCTGGTGGACTTGCTAACCGGGGTTTTTACCCTCTGGTAATACAGTTTGCTATGGAAAATCATCATGTTTAAGAGGTAAACCGTTAAACCCATCTATTTCTAATGGGAAAACCATCTACAAATGGAGGTTTTTTCATGGGTAAACCCACTTTTTTTTGGGCCATGGCTTCTATAGCAAACTCTTATATAGTTTACCAGTGGGTTTGCCAAACTTCCTAATTCGGATGATCCTCCACGGTGCATTCGAAAGCGTCGATCACATACCAGAAACAAGAAATATCCCAATAAATAATAGGCTATTGGTATGTTAGTATATCTTGATACCCCCATAAGTTAGGATATATGGATATATTGATCACATACTTGACATCTTGATATAAGAGATCCAGCTGCAAAATGCTGCCTGAAAACCAGAGGTGTCTGCGACATATCAAACAGCCTTTTGTGGGTCCGTTGACACCAAATTTTTTAATCTGCAGCCTTGTTTTAAGAAACTAACCTCCGAGTTTTCAGTCTTTTCTTGTGGTTCAATAATGTTAAATTCTCGTATTTGTTGAGACAACATATGTACTGTATATATATATATTTCTTGTTTTGCCTCTTAGCACACTATTCTTGTTGTCCGCCAAGGCTTAGACAGGATATATACATGTTTTTTTCCTCGTGGCATACCCCACATGAAGATCAATAAACGCATTCATGTTTTGATAAAGACGGCATACAAAAATATTTTATTCAAATGAATACTCTATACCATCAACATCGAAAGATACATAGCAGATGATAAAGATACATTTTGGTATCTCGATCCTTTCTTTTAACGATAACTAAGATACCATCCCTCCAATTAACGTAACGATCATGCAGAATAGTGCCAAATAGGAGCTTGGAAGATTAATTTCCACTCAAAATGGGCTAAATGTTCAGTGTCCAAAGTGTTAATTTCCACTCAACATGGACAAAATTATCCAAGTTAATCCTAAAATAAATCCCCATGAATCTAGCCATATCCCATGAAAGCCTCCTTTGAGACCTCCCAAGGATCCAGGTGGCAGCGCCTTATACCACAATGGCACCCATGCCGCAGGCTTCCTCAACGGTGCACGGGAAAAGATCCACCTGCAGAACGGAGATCATGGGGATATCATGGGATTCCCTCTGTCTGTTGAAGCCATGGCCCATAATACCCTCTGGTAATTTAACATAGCCATTGAACATGGCCATTTATAGTGGATTTACCCATAAAAAATGGTGATTTTCTATAGCTATGTTAGTTTACCAGAGGGTAATAGATGATTTACCTATTTAAGATGGTGATTTTCAATGGCAAACTGTTAGTCACTACCAGAGGGTAGACTATAGACAGACTATGTTGGATATTTTATTGTAGCTCATATATAAGTGGTATATACCGATATAAGTAGTATGATCACGTCATGATTTAATTTGATATAATGGGGATGTCATGATGTCATGGGTGTGCCCTCCAGTGTCACACCAAACCCGCTGGGATTGATGTTGGCTGACACCAACCATGGGTATTTCATAGCTCTTAATAGCCATTTAACCAATAAAGCAAAGTAAGATAGCTACAGAAATCCTGTCAAGAAAGACTCCACAATTCTTTTTTTCTTTAAATAAATGATATACATATGTATATATATATAATATCTATCTATCTACCTTAGCTTACTGGAGCATTCCCAATATGACCATTGGTATAAACCTTCCCCAAGTGGTAGGTCTGCATGGCATGGCGTCAGTACATTTCCTAGGAAGGTGATGTGAACAAATGTCGTCACCAATATGGTCAATCCAACATTTCAATTGGAGGTACCTACCATATATAAGGCCTATTTTTTTGGCCTATGTAAGGGGATATACCCCCAATTTCTATGGCCTTATATGATACAGTACCTCCATTTTAGGATCCTGGAATTTTCATTGAATATTCCTCTCTAAAAACCTTTGTTTTTGGCAACACATACTCTTCAAAGAGGCTGGTTTCCGACACTGTCATATCATGTCATATCATTCACCACAAAATCATACTGTATCCATCTAACATTGAAACAATCTTTGCAGGGCATCTAACTCTAGCCATGATGTGGAAAATATAAGTTTGTCCAAGAGTGGTGAATATCTCAATTTTTTCGGGCTATTTGTAACTGAACACGACATTTTTTTCAACCATGTCGTGGTCCATTGGGTAGCCGACAATCCAGATAGCCAGATAGCTCCATTGATACGTCTTGGAGCAGATGAAGCAGTGAGACAGAGCCATTTGGCTTTGTCTAGGGGGGTGACCCCCAGTTATGGTTATTTAGTTATTTATGGTCCAGTTATGATATTCATTAATATAATAGGTAATATAATAGGTGATAATAGATAATGGAATAATTTATGGTCATTGTTTTGTAAAGGGGACATGATGATACTTCGTTGGAATTGGGCCCCCATTTTCAGACTAAGCCGGTTTTGTTCATTCTAATTATTCGCTGGTTACGGCTGGAGGTGTCCATGGTCATGGTGCAGAATCCCCCGATGACTTCGCCACAGGTGCAGGGCAGCAGGGCAGGGGGAGGAGATGTGTCAAAAAACAACAGGTTTATGGTCTCACTTCTGCGAGCTGGTGCCCCAGTTTGTTAGCTAAATAACTCCCATAACTATGGTTTTGTGCCCATAGAAATAGATGGTTTACCTATTAAAAATGGGTGGATCTTTCCATGGCGAACTGTTAAATAACCAGCTGGTAACTCCCATAACTATGGTTTACGGTCGATATATACCTATACTTGCTATGGTTTGCTAGCCAACTTATAACTAGGGGGGCACCATCCTGTGAGGGATAAATTGCATTTGAGCGCCAGAAATTCATGGACTTGAACTCAAGAACTCGGAGTGAAGCAGCATCAATGGGGGGATTCACACAACAAACCATACGCATTTGTCTTGCACATGGAACTCCGTTCAACTGCTTGGGACTCCTATCCCAGAATCTTGAATATCCCGATCAAGGGACTGTAAATTTTCATAGATCCACTACTCAACAATCGGGTTTCCTTGAGGTGTGTATTTAACGTTTGTGGAAGGATTGGTTCACACAATTGCTTCAGTCACGAGTCACCATTCACATCCCCAGTTCTTGTGTGTCTCGGTGATATGTCCATTCAATAAATAAGCACCTATAAATATATACCCTCTGGTAATTTAGCGTAGCTATTGAAAATGGCCATTTATAGTGGATTTTCCCATTGAAAATGGTGATTTTCCATAGTTATGTTAGTTTACCAGAGGGTACTATAAACAGCAATCTATACATTTAAGAAAAAACACCAATCTATAAACGTCAACATGAAATACGCTGATTTCAAATCCAAGAAAGTACCAAATAGAATAAAGCAAACATAACACATTCAGGAAGCAATGCAATACCATCAAGAACCACTTACCCTCTGGTAAACTAACATAACTACAGAAAATCACCATTTTTCATGGGTAAATCCACCATTTCTATGGCCATTTTCAATAGCAAACTGTTAGTCATTACCAGGCCGGGTAAAAGCCAATGTTCGGCCGCCATTTTTCCATGGTGAACCTTCCCCAGGCCGATGTGCATGCGCCGCCCATGACGGGCCCAATGCCTGGCCCTATGCCTCCGAACCCCGCACCGATCGGGGCCGGAACCTGCGCACCGCGCATGACGAATAACTTGGCGCCCATCGGGCCGCCGATGCAGCAGATGCCAATGCAGCCACAGATGCAGCCGCAGATGCTTGGTGACAGTTTTGTGGGGTGATGTAGCTGTAGTGATTTTTTACTTTGCTTTTCTTCATTGACTTTTTGGAAATGTGATACAATAATTATATGGACATATAATATAATATATGTGATACGATATTATATATCATATATCCCAATGTCAATGAAATATTTCTCTTTTGGCGGCCAGAGGTTAAGCGGCCTCGTTTGGGGGGACTCACCTTGTAGGTGGGATGATGGTGATGGGGATTTTGTTTTCTGATTACTGTAAATAAATACATACATACATACATACCTACCTGCCTACCTACCTGCCTACCTACTTCCTACCTACATACGTACTATATATAATATGATATAATACATTTTAATACAATATAATACAATACAATATAATACAATACAGCATAGTATAACATAATATAATATAATATAGTATGATATAATATAATATAGTATAATATAATGTAATACAGTATATTATAATATAGTATAATATAGTGTAATACAATATAATATAGTATAATATAATATAACATAATATAGTATATAATATAATATAATACAAAATAATATAGTATAATATGATATAATATAGTATAATATAATATAATATGATATAATACAATGTGATACAACACAATACATTACAATACACTACAATACAATACAATACAACATAGTATAATATAATATAGTATAATATAAGATAATATAACATAATATAATATAATATAGTATAATATAAGATAATATAACATAATATAATATAATATAGTATAATTAAATATTATATAGTATAATATAATATAATATAATATAGTATAATATGATATAATATAATATAGTCTAATATAATATAATATAATACAATATAATATAACATAAGACAATATAATATAAACACACATTATATATGATATATACGCATATTACATATGATATGCAATATAATCTACATGCATAGTATATGGGCCTAGCTTGACAGCTTCAGGTTGCCTCCAGTCATTTGACCTGTAGTATCCAACCCCCCGGGGCACTGCTTCGGGACTGACGGGAACAACATATTTAAATAATGGTATCCGGTAGAAAAACCATGGTATCCGGTATAATTTTCTAGGCCAATCAGTGAAATCGACCTTTTCTGATGAAAGCATATACATAATTTACATGTGAAAGGGGGTTCGCCATCAGATACCGAACTTAACAATCACCAGGTTTTGCCAAGCATGTGGCTGCTTGGAGGAGTGCCTTTCAGCAGGTCCATTCCGGCCATCCGCTGGTCTCCACATATCTTTCTTTTCTCAATGTCTACAGTCAACAGACCCCCCTCGAGCCAAACCATGGATATTCCCATTTTGTTGGTTACATCAACATCCTTCTTTTCGTTCATTCGCCAGAGCTAGACCATCTACATCCATCTACCAGGTTTTGATCCATATCGGTCAGCGGCTTCGATATGATTCCTTGTCCTTTTTTCCACTGGCTGACCAAATAGAGGGGCAACCCGGATGTTTTCACAAATATACATATATATATATACACATGTTGAAAACACACACACACACATGTATATATATACACATCAAAACATAGACATACTTTAAACGCCATTTGGCAAATGATGAGCAACCCAATTTAAGGCACACCTTTTATGCAACTTTTCTTTCTGAATCCCTATGAATTGACATGAATACCAACATGATTGGATTCTACCATTCATGTAAATACCATTCATAAACTTGCCATGATCACTCCAACCAATGATAGTATCACAGATATCACAGCCACAAGGGGGCTTGAACGCTGAGGATGAGCATGGCTGTTGCTCCTCCGATGCCACAGCACCCACAGCACCCACAGCACCCACAGCAGCAGCATCTGCCGGGTGAGCCGCCCCTGGGGTCACCTGAGTTGCCATCGAAGGGGTCAGCACTGCATGCCTACCGTGCCTTGGACGGATTTTCCATGGGGACCAAGAGGGCTTTCACCTGGACAAAATGGAGGTTATGATACCCTCTGGTAAACCGACATAACTTTGGAACATCATCATTTTTGATGGATAAATCAACTATAATGGCAATTTTCAATAGCTATGTTAAATTAGAAGAAGGGGTATGTGCTTTTGTGGTGTGTCTTTGATGGGTTTTAAGGTCGAAAAAACGGGGAGTCCGTTCATCGGACAATGGTTATTTGGCATTGAATCAACATGCAGATTTCATGAACTGAACGTGCACAGAAATCGGGATAGCAACCAAACACTGGTCAGTTTTATCACTTTCTTTGACTTTCCTAAAAAAGATGATGTTATATCATGTTATATCCCAAGCAACAGATGGTGGAAACCAAACATCGGAGTGGACACATGGATTGTTGCGCCACAGAAAGGTTGTGAAGGATTCAGAATACTTACGGATTTTTGCATGCGCAAGAACCGCAAGCCGCAGAAATTTTAGGCTTTGACCCGCCAACATTAACATTTAGGATAGAACCCAGGAATCCTTGGTGATATCAGCCAAGAAACTTGGGAATGTAGTGACGACAGCCGGGATATGAAACCCGATGACAAGGGGCGAATGGTGGGATATAGTGAAACATCATTTGGACAATGGTTCGAGCTTCCGAATCTTTTTCTGTTCCATAGCTTTGCTCAGAAGATGATCATGGAACCACCGATTTCCGGCAGGTTCAAGCAGCAAGAGTCTAACAGTTTGGAGAGATACCCTCTGGTTATTTAACATAGCCACGGTATAGATGGCCCATTTATAGATGGTTTACCTATTAAAAATGGGTGGATCTTTCCATGGCTATGTTAGTCATAACCAGAGGTACCTCCAGAGATCAACACTTCCATTTGGGATCAGGGACTAGTCGACACATGGCTGGTCATCTTGTTTCTACCCCGGCTGGTGAATGTGTGTTTTTGTTGGTGAGTTAGCATTGCATCTGGTTATTTGTCACATAGCCATGGAAAGTCCCAACTTCCCAACCATAAATGGAGGTTTCGATCGCTGGGAAAATCATCTATAAATGGGCCATGGCTTCCATGGCTATGTTATTTTCAAGAACAGCAACAGATTTGCGATGCTAGGATAATCTAGGATACAATTCATCAGAAAATAAGTGAACATCCTACACAGATGCATAACTCACTGAAAGCCTACAGTGAGACCTCTGCAAAAGTTTCGCGAAGGAGCGGGCAAACGTGATTTTGGCATTTTGAAGGGGTTGGGCCGGTAAACCTGACAAAAGTAAACCTGACAAATGTAAGCCCAGCAAGCAATGAAAAAGCTTGCCCTGATCCTGACACTCATGCGGATAGCTCATCTCCCTTTGGCTTGGAGTCTGCAAGGCTATCACGAAGTAATCTTGACAATTCTGGCCAATCATCATTCAGAATCGCAATTTTTATTGCGGGGGCCATCCTCCATTCTCAGATCACCAAAATCCATCAAAACCCCATATCCTTGCTTGTATATCCAACCTTTTTCCCCATTGGTCCTTGTAAAAGCCTCATGAAAAAATAATGGTTGGCATCCCGTGAAGTCCCAGCACCAGAAAATGGCAGAACATCACTCTGCGAGGTGCCTGTAAGCCATGTGCCTTCTTCTACCAGGAAGGCTGCTCAAACAAGGACTGCTGGGTCCCCCGACGGGTTCTATGGAGGTTTCTATATAAAATGGGCCCCCATAGCTGGCTGGTTTGTAATGAAAAAACCATCTATAAAGGGCCCCTATTTTAGGAAACCCCCATATACTGAATAGTACTTTATGTTTTTGCTATCAATGGTTAACATGTACATAAATTTCTACATTCACCAGCAAAAAACACACATTATTTTTTTTTGGCAGGTCTCGAAGATTCACTTCATGTTTTTTTTAGGGGGGTTTAGCCCAAAGATGGGATTTTTGTTTCATGATTCATCCATGACCAGATGATAAATCCAAGGCTGAACCTTGGTGTTTTGCATCAGTGAGAGGGTTGGTTTGTAATCCCATCTAGCCTCTGATCATTTGTGAAAGAGTTTGCTATGGCGTACATGGTCCATTTGGTTCGACGATTCGATAATATATATATATACACTAGTTGGTGATTTAATGGTGATTTAATGGTGATTTAATGGTGATTTAATGGTGATTTAATGGTGATTTAATGGTGATTTAATGGTGATTAACCGTAATGGAATATTAATAACTGGTTGGTGGTGACTGGAACATTTTGATTATTTTTCCATTCAGTTGGGAATGTCATCATCCCAACTGACTCATATTTTTCAGAGGGGTTGAAACCACCAACCAGTATATATATACATACTGTATATAATACTCCTCTTTGAAACATGGTGATGTTCCATGTCGCGAACTGTGAAATTACCAGAGGGTAAGTCTAGATATGTCCATCCTAAATTATCATGGGTAAATTACCATCATAGGATAGTTACCCTAGCTGACTATAGATATCCATCATAAATCCAACGGGTCGTCCAGTTCTAAATCACCTGACCGATCGTTTGGAGGGCCTTCCTGAAAGATTCCACAGATACGGAGCACATACCAACGCTAAAACGTCCGCCCCACAAGTATACAGTACTTCGTAGTTCATCCTACATAGGAAGCAGGGTATATACCCTCTGGTAAACGCTTACATAACGAACTGGGAAATCACCATGTTCAATGGGAAAATCCACTATTTCGACTGGGCCATTTTCAAGTTCGCTAACTGTAAACGTTTACCAGGCCGGGTACCTGCTTCATTGATTCATGCGATTAGTCCCCTGTTGAATTGTGCGTGTGATTTACTTCACCAAGTGGGCGTTTGTCATCCCATGAGCCGATTCCACTAAAAAAAACCTCGATCTTTGTTGGCAAAAGCACCATTTTCTTCACTTCCCATCAAAGTCCCGTGTGGCATTGATTGAAGATGGTCATATAGCCGTTGGAAGAAGATCATGATGTCAGTTGCCATATTTTTAGGCATCCTCCACTATAGTGGGTTCACATGTTTGCCGTTTCGTTTAGAATTTCAAGGGCTGACGTATGAAATTTCAAGTACTTGTTGAGCCCCTTGATACTATTATATAAATATCAAATATCACTATACTATACAATATGATATGTACATCGATATATACATTAATATTTACAGATATTTATTTATAGATATATACTATATATATATATTTGCTCTATATAAATCTTACAGGCCATACACCATTCATAGAGTTACAGATTTCCCATAAATCACAGCCATGGCCAATCCATGGCTAATGTGATTTATAGTATATGTAACTAGATATTGATGGTGTATATGATATGTACCATATTGTAGTATAGTATATATACAGTAATGTACTGATACTTGTAAAAACCATATATATGGTACATATCATATACACTGATACACCATTCATATCTAGTTACATATACGAAATAAATCACCCAACAGCCATGGCCAAAACGTTAAATGAATAGGAATTCCAGGATCCTAAAATGGAGCTACTGTACCATATGTTTGGCCATATTTTCTGGTGATATTCACTTACATAGGCCTCAAAAATCGGCCAAACATATTTGGTAGGTACCTCCAATGAATCGGATCCTGAAATTCCCATTGAGGAAATCCTTAGGAAATCCCTAGGAAATCCAGTATTTGAATATCAATCCATATATACCCTCTGGTAAATAAACATAGACCCTGAAAATCACCAATTTCTAATGGAAACTAATCTTCCAACCCCTATCTGCCAGGGTCTATGTTAGTTTACCGGGTCGCCAGCGACGGCGTCGCCAGGAGCAGTGTGCCTTCTGCCACCTCTGCGAGCCTGGCGAGCGCAAGAGGCGCAAGAAGGAGCGCCGCATGGCGCGGCGCGAGGCGCAGGACGCGACGACGCGGGACGGCGTGACACGGCGACACGGCGATTTTTGGGCACAATGGGAACCCAAAAAGGGGTGAAATTCACCATGAAACATGTTGAAAGATGGTGAAAGATGATGAAACATGGTGATTTAACCATGAAAATGAAGACTTGAAAATATTGTAACCATGAACACTTGGACTTGAACCGGTCACCCAGGAACATGGTGACCTGAGCCAGAGGGATTCTACCCAGCGAAGTTGTGTTAACTCCAAGCACTGTAGGGCTTATGGTAGTTATTAATGGAAGTGGTTATGGGAGCTACAAACCAACATGACACGGGAGAAACCACCTAGCGTATATATATATATTTAAAAATTATACAGTTTTTTTTTGAAAAATTAGTCATAAGGAATCTATGACATTCATTTATAGGGAATTTGTGAAATTCATTATAAGGAATCAACATCCATTTCTTATCTTTATAAATTTCTGGATTTGCAAAAAATATATAAAATAAAAGAATGATGCGGATAGGTTGGATGATGGGGGGATTGTCTTCCACCCCAGATTTTCTGGGACTCAACCAGAAAAAATCACGTTTTTTTTTGGGATCAAACGACTAAAAGTCAGAAATATCGGAATTTCACCACTAAGAATCAGGAATTATGCAATAAGAAATAGGAATCAACAAGAAACCATGAAGATTAAGGTGGGCTGGGGACTCCAGTAGGATGTTGCTTGTTTTTATTCGCAGAAAGCCGGGAGGATTCAACCACAAGGATGGTAGGTGCCCTCGCGTAATCCAACCAGGAAATCGGTGGTTTTCCTACTTATGTATAGATATAGTATAGTTTACTTATAATATCTTATAATCACCATAAAGCCTGAGTTACCCTCTGGTAAACTAACAGTTCGACCCTGGCAGTCATCGGGTTTTTTGTAGACTAGTTTCAACTAAACAATGGCTATTTTCAGGGTCCAACTCTTAATTTCCGGCTATAAAATGTTATAAACCACCTAGGACTCCCAATGGGACAACTTCTAGGACTCCCGATTGGCCACTTGCCGCCTCGGCCGTCCAGGAGGGATGAACTTGAAACGAAACGTAGCAGGTCTGGTGCGGGGAAATTCCCCGTCGCACCCATGGGAAGAAGCTTAACACGAGCTGCGCTCGGGTGGGGCTTTAGCACTTTCTGAATGGGTCCCAATGTATTGGAAATTGCCATGAAAGGTTGCTAAAAATGGAGGTCAAAACTGTTAAATGAGGAGCTAATGAGGAGCTGCTAGGAGTTTCCGAATCACATGATGGATTGGGTATCAGATTGGTAGTTTATAATTGTCCACATATATATATATAAATATGTATATATATATTATATATATATATATGATAGCTAGCAAGATATATTAGGGTATATATATATCATGGTATCCCCGATTTTTTAGGAAGGATACCCGGTAAATTTACATGGATATGGACACTTCCGCCACTGTTGATCATTTTCTGAACGGGTTTTCCCACGAGGATAGACAGCGAGACCAGGATCTTGGTTGACCTCACATCCCCAAACTGACCTTACTTGCAGTAAATCTACATGTTAATAACTGGTTAATAACTGGTTAATAATGGTTAATTACCCTATAATAGGGATATTAATGGTGATTTAATGGTGATTAACCCTCTGGTAATGGAATATTAATAACTGGTTGGTGGTTTGGAACATTGTTATTTTTCCATTCAGTTGGGAATTTCATCATCCCAACTGACGAACTCCATCATTTTTCAGAGGGGTAGGTATACCACCAACAAGTATATTATTGCCAGAACAGAGTGCATATGATTTTTGTGAGAAAATCAGCTGCGCCCAATCCAATGGTTGAGTGTGTCATTTTCCCTATTAAAGTAGCTAGACATTCGAAGGGTATATGCCATTTTCAGACGCACCCACATTATATATATATATGTATATATATATATCTATATACATACATACATACATACATACACACCCTCTGGTAAACTAACCAAGCTACGGAGAATCATCCGTTTGAATGGGTAAATCAACGATCAATTGCCATTTTCAATAGATATGTTAGTCATTACCAGGGGGGTATATACACACACAGCCTCCAGTGGGTTTAAGTTGGGCTAGGAGCCGTTGACCAGCCACCATCGGGAAATCAGGAAACAGCCTGGGTGATTTACTGATAATTGATGAGAAGTAAGCTACATTTCCTGATTTACTTTCCCTGGTTCACAAAATCTCTGATATATCGCAATACCCTCCATTTTTGCGTGATTTCCTGTTTCTTGTAGATTTTGCCAAGCAATGCAGCATCTTTCTTTCTAGTCCCGCCCTAGCTTTGAAATCTTCCATGCCCGGACGCGGTGGGGCCAAGATCTGAGATGTTCGGATGCAGGTTAGGTGAATGAAAACCTAGTGGCCAGTTCAACCGCCGATTCTGAAGCCTTCAAGATTTGGGCGAATTTTAGCGAAGTGGATGACAAAAATTGGAATTAATAATCCAGCAGAAGTGGTTTCAAGAACTAGTGTGGCCACTGCTCAAGCGTCTGTGTTATTTGTCAACTCTGTAGAGACTTGTCACTTCTGCAAAAAACCCGGAAGGAATGCCTCGAATCCATTCCTAAAGCTGTCAGAAATGTCTGCCACCAACCTGTACCTGGAATTGTTAAACAAATGCTGCAATTCTCCAGGGCCTTTCTTCACTCCAGGGCCCCGCAAGCTAAAAATTGTTCGGATTCATCCGATTCATCCACGAGTTGCTACCATCGGATGTCCCTTTTTTAAGGAACTCAATGCAGAGCCAAAACATGATGTGTTTTTTTTGCAAAAAAAGTTCTACCAGCTGAATTCTGAAAGCTGAAAGCAACACATATATGTTGGACTCATTCTGATGCCACTCTACTGGGTTGTGTCGGGCTTTTTCCCCAAACTATAGTGTATATATACATACTCCATCCATTTTTTCCGGTTTGTAGCTACAATAAGGTTGGCAAACATCCAATGGTCGATCAACAATGTGGTTTATTAATACGGTGGCTGGAAGAAATCCTGCACCAGTTGATAGGTGGTAAACATCCCATTATTTATAGGGTTTCAACCATCCAAGGTGATGCAGGATTTCTTCCATCCACAGTATGTTTATTGATGTTTACTGATGTTCCTTGCACAATCAGTTAACCATGTGTGACAAAACGCGTGCTAAAGTATGGCACGGTATCTTTATGAAGAAAACACACACGCAAACATGAAAAGACATGGAGTGAACATGAGTGAACAATTCTTATCAATCAATCTGAACATATCTGAAGTATATTGTCATTAAAGTTTATCCATTTGAGTGAAGAATTTTTATCAATCTGAATAAATCTACAATGACGTCGCTGTGACGTTACTGGAATGATGGTTAGGGTGACTCATCCCTGAGTGGCATCTGGAAAAGAGCTGGTGAAAATTACTATACAGTTACAATCAATTAATCTAGATAGGAACATAACACATATCCATACAGATCCATATCATCTATTATCCATGAAGCCCAGAATAACCAATTTAACTATACTAAATCCCATGAAATCCGATGAAACACCAATAAATAGGAATATCTCCATGGTATCAGGGAGGAGCGTCAGGGTCGAAACGACCTCTGGCGTCTTACGCGTGGCACTGCGCCGACGCGGCGTCGACGCCACAGCCGTGGCGTTTCACCCAGCAGGACCCCGTCGCGGCGTCGCAGGACGTGTTGATCGACGTCTCACATCTGACCAACTGCGCAGTACTGAGCGTGAGAGAAAATGTCTTGGTGTCGTTGGAAGGGCAGCAAGTGGATCCAAGTGGGCTTGAAACCGGTTTAAAACCAACTATAGAAATTATTGACACTACAGTATAGTAACTACAGAGATATGGGTTTGTTAGAAAATAGGGTACATACCCCTAAATCTACTGGTTCATGAGCATTGACCAGTTAAAGTTGCCATTTTGGGGGGTTGCCACATTTTTGTACATGCCTACCTATATTAATATATCCACCAACAGTCCTGGTTAGCCCAAACCAACCTACCTATCGCCTGGAGATCCCTTCCTGTAGAGTCTTGAGTCTTTTTGATGTGGATAGCGCCACATCAACGAGGATTTTAACATCTGAATTGGGCTGTTATCAATCTAATCAATCTAATCAATCTACGAAAAAATCAGTCGTTCCAACAAGATTTCACGATGTACAGTAGAAGCCATGATGATGGTGGTGATGATGATGATATCTATTGATAATACTAATATTACATAGTATTACTATGATTATACATTCCACTATATATTACATTGATTACTACTAATATAGTGGATATTAACTATTAATTACATTGATTACCCTCTGGTAAACTAACATTGCTATTGAAAATGGCTGGATCTTTCCAGTTCGCTATGTTAGTCATTACCAGAGGGTAGTGCCATAGTAAGATAATATTCATATACTATATATTATATTACCATATTAGTACCATATTAGTACCATATTAGTACCATATTAGTACCATATTATATTACCATATTATATTACCATATTAGTACCATATTAGTACCATATTAGTACCATATTAGTACCATATTAGTACCATATTAGTACCATATTAGTACCATATTAGTACCATATTAGTACCATATTAGTACCATACCATATTAGTACCATATTAGTACCATATTAGTATTAGTACCGTATTAGTACCGTATTAGTACCATATTAGTACCATATTAGTACCATATTAGTACCATATTAGTACCATATTAGTACCATATTAGTACCATATTAGTACCATATTAGTACCATATGAGTACCATATGAGTACCATATGAGTACCATATTAGTACCATATTAGTACCATATTAGTACCATATTAGTACCATATTAGTACCATATTAGTACCATATTAGTACCATATTAGTACCATATTAGTACCATATTAGTACCATATTAGTACCATATTAGTACCATATTAGTACCATAGTAAAAATATAATACAATTACTATTAATATAGTGGATATTAACTATTAATTACATTGATTACCATCTGGTAAACGAACGTTGCTATTGAAAATGGGTGGATCTTTCCATAGCTATGTTAAATTACCAGAGGGTAGTGCCATAGTAATATATATAATATTCATATACTATATATTATATTACCATATTAGTACCATATTAGTACCATATTAGTACCATATTAGTACCATATGAGTACCATATGAGTACCATATTAGTACCATATTAGTACCATATTAGTACCATATTAGTACCATATTAGTACCGTATTAGTACCATATTAGTACCATATTAGTACCATATTAGTACCATATTAGTACCATATTAGTACCATATTAGTACCATATTAGTACCATATTAGTACCATATGAGTACCATATGAGTACCATATGAGTACCATATGAGTACCATATTAGTACCATATTAGTACCATATTAGTACCATATTAGTACCATATTAGTACCATATTAGTACCATATTAGTACCATATTAGTACCATATTAGTACCATATTAGTACCATATTAGTACCATATTAGTACCATATTAGTACCATAGTAAAAATATAATACAATTACTATTAATATAGTGGATATTAACTATTAATTACATTGATTACCATCTGGTAAACGAACGTTGCTATTGAAAATGGGTGGATCTTTCCATAGCTATGTTAAATTACCAGAGGGTAGTGCCATAGTAATATATATAATATTCATATACTATATATTATATTACCATATTAGTACCATATTAGTACCATATTAGTACCATATTAGTACCATATGAGTACCATATGAGTACCATATGAGTACCATATTAGTACCATATTAGTACCATATTAGTACCATATTAGTACCATATTAGTACCATATTAGTACCATATTAGTACCATAGTAATATAATATATTCGTGTTAATATCCACTATATATGACCCGACCGATCCCACGGTGCCCGGTGCTTTGGTGCCCCAGTGAGGTAAATCGCGTTCAGTTAGTGAACATAACTCCAATTTCACGATGGTTTATAGGTGATATCAGGTGATATCTCGAACTAGTCAATGGTCTTATAACCAATCAAAATGACTGGGGGGCCTTGTACCCAAAAATGGCGTTCAAATGATGACCGCACACGTTGTTTTTTGACCAACCCACGTTGTCTTCCAGCAAAATGTCATGGACTTTTGTTGCCTTCGTTCCGGGTCGTTGGTATCCGCGGCGGCATCCTGCCAAGCATCACCACATGAGATTTTGGTTAACCCATATATTACCCATATGAAAAAGGGGCCCTGGTGGCTCAACTGCAGACCAATGCAGTAAATTATGTGTTCGTCAACATCAGACATCCAAGTCTGAGTTTGGTGGAATAGTCTCCAGAATTTGTCACTTCATCGGTGTCTCATATCCCTTCTTTTACTGTCCCCCGGTGTTCGGTTGAACCGCACACCAGCGTCAGCGTGTCAGCCTACCTAGGTCCTGTTGGAAGGATTCAGAGAAGCAAGCTTGTTTGTCAGCAAAAAAATGCGGATGCAAGAAGCAAAGATGTGGAGCTGGCGTGCCAATGGAACTGTTGAACCCCTGAAGATTCTAACCCAGCGAGATACACAAACACATTATGATGAACATTGGCCGAGCCGGGGCCGGAAATAATTGGACAACATGGAACCTCTCGTTTTACACCGCGGAACTGACAAAGATCTCATGATTTCAGCCTCATGAACATGTATGAACATGTATGAACATGTGATGTTCTTTTTCACTTCAAACGGTGGTGGAAGATATCGTGGTTAGCCCCGTCCATTTTGGTGATGTGAAAAAAGTATGCGGTCAACTGATAAGAATGTCTTTATATTGTAACTAAATGTAACTACTTTGGTTAACTATAGAGGAAACTGGAACTCTGCCAGTCCATCACCCCCTTCGCAGCTTCGCTCTGGGGATGGGTTAAAATTGAAGCCCCAGAAGGGACCACGGATAGATGATTTTAGTATATGATTAATATAAAACATCTAATTATCGGGGTACCCGGCTTTGACATATTTTGACCCATACCCATACGAGCCCTATACTTCAACATCTGGTAAGAAGCGAAATTGTGGACCTTCAGCGGATTGACAGATCATTTTCAGCACTAAAGCTTACCAAACCGGCCCTACTGTTACCGTAGTTGACCCATGCCCAACTTGTTCACTGTTCACTCCGGGATCAACGAAGAGAAAACGCCCAGTTTCTTCGCAGCGATCTTTGCTCGAAACACCCCGCAAGCAAACGAGCTTCAAACCCAAAGCTCACTGAATCTCTGTCGCGGCCTCAGATGTGATTTTCCCACTAAGGTGTGGGTGACCTTACTGTTGGGGACCTGCCAAGCATTCCAATTTGGCAATAAGCCCAACGGTGGATGTTTCAGAAATCCGTTGATCCCAGTTGATAGATGGTGAACATCCATATAAATAATGGGATAAACCTATCTATTTACAGTGTGTTAACCATCCAAAATTGGTAGGATTTCGCAACTTCCAACCACAGTACCAGCAGCTTACCACCAGGTTACCACCATTTCTGATGAGTCTTTCTAGCCTCTGGGAACTAAAAGAAGTTTGCTATTGGCCCAGTCGAAATAGTTGATTTACCCATTAAAAATGCGGATTTTCCGTAGTTATGGAGTTTGCAGAATACCCTCTGGTAAACTAACATAACTATGGAAAATCACCATGCTATTAATGGGAAAATCCACTATTTCTATGGCCATTTTCAATAGCTATGTTGACATAACCAGAGGGGTTTCCCATCCATTCCTCGAGGTTAAAAAAAATGGCTGCAACCAGTGCCGATGCTGAGCGATCTCTGTTGGAAGGCGCACCTGGCTGCCTTGGGTGAAAAATCTTGGCCACTGAGGTCATCACTAAGTGGTTTCTTGAAAAAATGGTTAAACTTGGGGCTAATTATACTAATTATGTATACTAAACTTGGGGTGAATTAACTTTTAATAACTTTGAAGGGTCTCATATTCTCAGATGGGGATGGGTCAATACCTATTATTATCAATTCTAATGGGATGAACATCCATTTACCAGCTATTTTGATGTGAACTACAGGGGTACCAGGGTTTTGACCCATCCCCAGATGTTTTTCTGGCGAAAATTACATCATTACATGAAATTTTAAGATGAGAACATGGCTGACGTGGCTCCACATGAGACATGATCTCATGGCTGATCTCATGGCTGTATTCCCAGATTTCATCAATGGGAGATCTTCAGGATCCAACAGATGGAGGTACGTTAGTACCATATGTTTGGCCATATTTTGTGGGGATATTCACTTACATAGGCCTTATATATATAGGCCTTATATATGGTAGCTACCTCCATTTTAGGATCCTTTTTTATTCCCATTTATTTCATGCTGATACAGCCATCATTTTGTGTTGGCTCATTGCATTTCTCATCTTCCCGCATCGATGCATGCCTAACCACGCCCATGAGTTGCTTGACCTAGATATTCCAAGATTGCTGACAAACCTAGATATTTACCCTCTGGTTATTTAACATAGCCATGGAAGATCCACCCATTTTTAATAGGTAAACCATCTATAAATGGTGATTTTCCATGGCTATGTTAAATAACCAGATGGTAATCCCATTGGATAAAGATGAGCTTTACCAACATCAATTTATTTCTATACATATTCCAATGATCTTTCCTTTCTGCTGTTGGTAAATCTCATTTTTGATTATAGGTGAGCTCAAATCAAACCTCAAACTCAAGCACCATGGTTTCAAAACCCTGTCATCCACTTGTACTGGTTGCCTGGGAATGAAGTTCCCTCTATCTCCAAGAAACGTCAAGAAACCAGGCAGGTTCTTAGCTCCGTTTCACAACTAAGCACCCCTCATTTGTCATTTAATGTAATTTACATCACAATTTACATGCATCCGCACTTTTTCATGGCTAAAACTCACAGGAAGGGATTTTTGCTAAGTAAAACATTGGTTTACAACCTCATCCAACTGGTTCAATAGATCCACCATCTGCCATTGCTTCCAGTTTTAGATTCTAGGTGGAGTCTGATCAATTCAGTATAGCAGGTGGCTAAAACCTATATACGCAATGGTCCAGAGTTGGATTTTACATATACCCATACTAGGGGAGGTCATCAATCCATTTTCAGAGGTATTCATATACAGTGCCCTTTATGTTTGCATTCACATGACATGGGATGGATGCCCCTTGACCATGACACATGCAACCCCCACACTAGGATTACGAAGGGGGCACCACTTTGTAGTCCCATATAACCTCCATATACCCTCCGGTCTGGGAATAGAAAATCATTCATTTGAGAATTTGCCCAGCTAGAAACCTCCATTTATGTTGGATTTACCATTGCAACGTTTGATTACCAGAGGGTAATCGCATGATATTCCATGATATTCCATGACATCATATGGCGATTATGGACACACCGTATAAGAAATAGTGATATCCATAGGGACATAGCATTACATCATATCAAAAATCCCCTATGTTTCTGTTTCTACCATCATTTTTGGTGAACATCGCCGTGTTTTTGTGGCAGTTTTTGGCACATTTCGCTTGGCTTTCTTCACCTCAGGTGATGCCACCGGCAGCTATGGTGCCACGGGTGCCCCGCAAGCTTCACCAGCGTCGGGGGATCCCAGGGCCGTTTCGCGTCGGGATGGGCTGGAAGATTTTCCCCAGAGCAGCTGGAGGTTTTGAGTCATCCGAAGATTTTTAGTGGATGATACCTCCTAGTTTTTTAGTGGATCATCTATAATCATCTATAATTATCTTAGTATATCCTCAATATCCATGGTATACCCTCTGGTAAATAAATAGTTGGACCCTGAGAATCAGCAATTTGTAATGGTTTCACTAATCTACAAAAACCCCGATGAATGGCAGGGTCGAACTGTTAATTTACTGGAGAGTACCTCCATATACCTCCTAAGGTTAACAAATCTTCGGATCTTTGGTGACACATGTTGATGATACCTCCATGTGTTGATGGTACATCAATGTTTGGAGATTTACAATACCATTGATATGATCCATAACATTGATATGATATCAATGTTAGTCATGTTTGATATCATCAATATCCAATGATATCATTTACAGTACCATTAACACATGGAGGATGATACCTCCATATAGCTCCTTGTTTTGGAGATTTGCACCATTAACACATGGATTTTGAATGATTTTGACGGGAATCATCAGTTGATTTTGGTGGTAACGCGAGAATTGGCTTTCCGGGCTGGAGTATGTAGAGCTGCCTAAAATTGAAATTAGAACCCCAAGAATTGGAAGGGTGTCTCAACATGTCTCAACTCAAAATGTCTGCTTTGAAACATGGTATTTCTTGTGGTCCCACAGGTTTTGACAGAGACATTTCATGGGACAACTCGAGGTCGTCGAAGACAAGAGGACGATAAAATTCCAACAACATTTTTTTGGGCTCAGTAGAAATCACTTTTATCTGGTTGGTGGTTTGGAACCATGGAATTTTATGATTTTCCCATCATATTGGGAATGTCATCATCCCAACTGACGAACTCATATTCTTCAGAGGGGTAGGTATACCACCAACCAGTTATGCCATTTTTCATCATACCATTTCCTCATATCCAATTTTATCCCAGAAATTGGACCGCTGGAAATGATGCAAAAAGTACATATCCCCATGAATCAACTCCCGGGTACAGAGCTGAACAATTGCTTTGGATCAAATCCCAGGTACGGTGTTTGTGGATGTTTATGTCCATCTTCCGAAATATCAAACAGTAATGAACATGATTACACGATATTACATGATTACTGTTGATTGATGTTCATGAATGTTGATGTTCATTTAATTGAATCAAATCCCAAAATATCTATGGAAAATCATAGGTTTTGCTCCATCCCGAACTGGATGTGCATCTCAGGAATTGTGCATGGTGAAGTCTGGTTATTTAACAGTTCGCCATGGAAAGATCCACCCATTTTTAAGAGGTAAACCATCTATTTCGATTAGGGCCATCTATACCATGGCGAACTGTTAGTCATAACCAGGTTGGCTAATTTCTCTTCACATTCGGAAAAAACTTCAACAAATCTCCAAACATCCATAGCATGATCTCCAATCTCCAAGATCTCCAAACAAAAACACGAAAATCTCGGAGAAAAACTTCGAACATCTCCAGCCTTCGATTTATTCTCCATTTTTTCCCCCTAGCCTCTGGTAAACGTTTACATAACTATGGAAAATCAGTATTTTTAATGGGTAAATCAACTATTTCTATGGCCATTTTCAAGTTCGCAAACTGTTAGTTTATCAGAGGGTATTTATAGTCATATCCATCTACATTAGATATGAAATTATTGTTGACACAATGTTGGTATTTATAGTATTTTATAGTCACTTATAGTTGATAACACCGAAACCATGGCCATCCCAGGGACGCTTCCGCCCCGGGCGCGGGCGCGGCCGGAAGCGGTGCAGAGCCTCCGCGCATGTCTCCGGAGCAGATCTTGGCGGAGATCACACGTGGCTGGTTTGTATAATATTGTATATAATATCATATCATATCATATAATATTGTTTAATATTGTAAATATATGCAACCATTTCAAGTTAGCTATGTCTATTTGTGAATTCTTGCAGTATATCTTGATTGGTCAGATCCCCATCTGTTGTGCGGCAGCACAGCAAAACATGAGGTAATGCTGATGCATATAAGAAGATGTTCGTGAATGCTTTGATGGGAGGGTTTCTTGGTACTTCAGATGTCGGGGCGAACGGGGCGAACCGGTCGGTGGCCTGCCTGAGCCAGCAGCAGCTGGCCGGAATTCATGCAAATTCATAATATCCACGCTTCTTCAACTTGGTTTCTTCATGTCCAAGGAGAGATCTCCCACTGCCAATAAAGATTGTACTTGGGCATTGCCTGTAGGGAAGTTCTTTTTTCCGTTATACATGTAATTTCGCCGCGTGTGTGGTTGGAACAGTCCCCGAATTGGTTGAAAGGAACATCTAGGACAGGAACCCTGTGTCTGTCTCCTCCGGGAAGCTCAGCCCATGGATCCTAATTGGTGAGTAACCGGGGTTAGGTTGCCCAGTAGATGGGAAAATTATGCTTTAGAAATCGTGGACTTTTGATCAGCAGGGTTGTCAGCCCTCTGCTGTGATGATCCTTCTTACACTGGCTTCGTAGCAGCCTCATCATTGATCACATGAGAAGGGTTGGCAAAGTACTGTACGTCTGGACATGAACGTCCTCGATTGTACCAGGAAAATTATCTATATTTTTTCCTGATTGCACCATATTGCAACAGTAGATTGCCAGAGCGGACCGATGGTCAATTCGTGGTTTTTCAGTTGGATCCAGACTCTTGAAGTCACACGAGTTGCGCCACGAACTTACCGGAAAAAACCGGCAGTTACAAACACATGTGGACGTGTGAGTTCTAGATATCCGAGTCAGTGTTTGTTTCCGAATGTCAACCCCTGATAGAGGATCAAAAAGGGAGTAACTCTGAAAAGATCTGAACAGTGATTCAGTGCCGGTAGACATAGTACCGGACATATCCGTTCAGATCTTGTTTCTTGTTCCTGTGGCCAGAACAAGGAGAGGTTTAGAGCTCGAAATGATTATGTATAGTGTTACGTGCTTGACTGGTTGCATTCTATTTTTGCTTTCCTCTCTGGCTATTGGTGCCTGCCGCGTTTACAACCGACCTCCAATTCCTGCCGGTTCAACTAGCCATATATTGGGGTGCCCGCCCATTTTCAGGCAAAAAAACACACCCCATTCACATCCCATCACTATCCCAATATCCCCGTAATATCACAATATACCCGTTGATATTATCCCATTATGCTTATTTGCACATATCCACATGGCTATGGGTCAAAATTATATGTGTTAAAATAAAATAATATAATATAATATAATATACCTTCTCAGAGCAATTAGAAGTCGGATTATGCGCCACATACGAAGTGGGGCGAAGTACCAAAAGTACATCGATACATCGATGGTAGAAAGGAGCCATTGACATCGATGACGATCCCATACGATCCCCATGTGTCTGCTAGTCCAATGTGGGCCGGTGATTGGGGTTATTGGCTAACCAATTTAACTCAAATACATCACACACACACATGTATCCATGTTTCATGCTCAAATCACCATTTTCCATCATTTTTCATGCTTGGCCTTGTCTTAAAACATGGGGTATACCCCTGAAATTTATCATTTTATGGGATGATGATCAGAATCTGGTACCCCGCAACCCCGATCCAATTCCAATGAGCAGTAAAAAATTGGTATCACTAGAATCATAATCCATTAAACTTACAATTAGGATATAAATCCATATATAATATATAAATATATAACTTTTAATTATATCATATCACTATAAAAGTTCAATCCATATGCAATGGATATACCGAGGCTGGCACCTCTGATCACTGAAGGTGCGGGTTTAGACTGAGGATTTAAGCAGCAAACCTTGGGGGGATAGAGGTGATTTGTAGGTCAGTTGGGTTTAGTTGGGTTTAGTTGGGTTTAGGTACCCTCTGGTAATTTAACATAGCTATTGAAAATTGCTATTTATAGTGGATTTTCCCATTAAACATGCTGATTTTCCATAGTTATGTTAGTTTACCAGAGGGTACCTAGCTAGACTGTTGGGTTTATGGTAACCCTAAAATCAGGATGATAGGTTTTACCATGAAAACTGGGGTTCAGCTAGTAAACATGGTGATGCAGCTGGGAAGACATGCAGGAATTTAAGTGATTTCCCTACCGTCCATGAAACATGGGGATGATGCACCCAGGAAGAATGGGGGATGTCCTTCCTTTTGGTTCTGCCAAGAAATGGCCGAGGCCCCAATTTATGGCATTTTTTTGTGTTGGGGATGTACTCCCGTCGCGAATATATACGCTCTGGTTATGACTAACATAGCCATGGAACATGGCCCATTTATAGATGATTTTCCCATTAACACCTCCATTTAGAAGGGATTTTCCATGGCTATGTTAAATGACCAGATGGTATATATATATATACATATATATTCCCATTGATATTGCCACAATATTCAATCACTATCACCAGAATATCACTGATATCCCATAGAATATCCCCATCAAATCCCCATCATAGTCCCATTGCTTCATCGAATCGCATGATATACTAATTATTAATTAGAAGAACCACAAGAATACCAATACTAATAATGACAAGATACATAATATTTCCATTGATATTCCATCACTAGTAATAGTATATTAGTATATCGATTACATTCCCATCATATTCTCAGATATTCACCTGACATTCACTAATACATGTATATATATAGGTTCCACTATGGTAACCGACAGAATTATGGAAAAAAAACACGTTCAACTTAGACAGGCGGCGCCTGCGTCCGATTTTTCCATAATTGGGTTTTTCCCCATAAGGGCTCAAAATATCCCGGAAGTGATCCGAACCTTTTTTTTTCCATAATTCTTGGAGGTGGCCATTATTTCCATAATTGATTTTTCCTGTAAAATCAGGGCTAGGGCAGATTGACCGGTTTTTCCATAATTATTTTTTCCATAATTATTGTTTCCATAATTAATGTTTGGGGCTCCACCTGTTGGACATGTCATGGATCCACAATTCAAACCCCTTTTTTTTGGGGGTTATGGAAATATGTATGCAAATGCAAGTATGTAGTATCAACCCAATTGGTGGCTTGGCAAAAGGATACATCCCGCATATGTATGTACGTACAACAATGAGTTTTGGTGGTGCAATCGTATATCAATGGAAGACTTAGGGGCATATACCAGATCTTTAGACACATATTTTCTATAATTCAATATTCCCCCTTAAAATGCATTCAAATTGCGAATCGATGGACATACAGTCACCGACAGAATTATGGAAAAAAAAATAATTATGGAAAAAATAATTATGGAAAAAAACAGGTTCGTAACTTTTCTATCATAGACAGGCGGCGCCTGTAAATTGAAACGTTTTTTTTTTCCATAATTCTGTCGGGTGCTGTAATATATCTATAGATTCCACTAATATATTTATAGATTCCAGTAATATATTCAAATATATCATTATATGTATATCATACTGTAACATATATATATAGAGATTCCACTCATATATTCCCATGATAAGATACATAAAAGAAACCCGTCATATCACTGGATCATCCCACTTAGACATGGGAACGGATCACCTCCCAGTACCATCCGCTTTTCCCAGTGAGGTGATCCCACTAAATCCTGTAATTGTCATGTATCTGTATAGTGATATATATATATATATATATACATACCCCATAAAAAATCATCATTTTCCAATAATAGTACCAATATATATATATATGCAGTATACATAATCATCTATAGTCTCATATAATCAACTATAGTCATTTTTCAACTATCATCTAGTTCCATTCACACCATAGGCATCAACTGCTATACGTATATAATCGTATATATATATATATGGATAATCCTGTCAGCATCATCATCATCATCATCATCATCATGATCATCATATTATATTCTTCTTCTTTATATATTATCCCGTATCATTATATTTTGATATTATAGTCCCATATATCATTACAACATTCTTCAGAATTTATATCATCCATAGTTCCATATAATCATCAACTATACCAGTCCCATATGATGCCTCCCATATAATAGTCTATAATTATCTATAATCATCTATAGTTATCTAGAATCATCTATAATCATCTATAATCACCTATAATCATCTATAATCACCTACAATCATCTATAATCATCTATAGTATATTCACACTATAATCATCAGTATAATTAGTCCCATATAACATTATTCACAATAGTCCTAAATAATCATCAACTATCCCAGATAATATCTCACATATAATCACATATATATATATATAATCATATACTCATTTACAATCATTTATCATCCCATATCATATTTTGATATGAGATGGATGATATATCATGATCTTGATATATCCTCGAATCCCCGATAATCATCAAGAATCATCTTTAATTGTCTATAGTATCAATGGATAATATGGATCGATAAATATAGATGATTATCCATGGTATCCTTAATATCCATGGTATAATCATCCATGGATCTTCCCACTTCGCAGCTTTCGGCACCTTCGTCCTGGTCTTCACCGTGGGCTGCGCCGTGGCCTCGCCCACGCCCTCGCCCTGGGCGCCGCTGACCATCGCCACGGCGCCGCGGCGGCGAAACGGGAGTCGAAACGGAGATGGGAATGGGCTGGGAGCGGTCAAAACGGGCGGATTCTTGATGGATTTTGGGGATTTTAGGGGAAAATTCATAGTTTTTAGTAGATTTTCAGGGGTTTTTAGTAGATTTTAATGGAATATTCATTGTTTTTTAGTGGATTTTCATCGGTTTTTTAGTGGATGTAGAATGCTTTCAGGGGAAATTTCACGCTGACCATGGAGATTGGAGAAGCAGCAAAGCAACCTAGCGAGTCGGTTCTTCCAGACGGAACACGGGTTTCATCCCCGTTGTTTTCGTGGTTAAAACCATTTTTTTGGTTCTTCTATTGGGCCGATTCTGCTCATGAGTGGAGTTGTACCCCCAAAAAACCTTGAGCTGAAGTGGGCAACTGGGTTCTCAAGCCACAAATCACTATGAAACGGCCTGATTCCACACACTTAGTGGTTCATGGTGGCCAGATGCATGGGTGAGTGATGCGATCGTCCCTTGATACTTGGGGATCCAGCACTAAGTTAATTACTTCCTGAACCACCAGGTACACTCCGCTTTTTTCCCACATGGCAAAAGATGGAAAATCCAACCCGACAGTATCCATGAAATCCGTATGTAACGATGACACATTCTGGATTTTCCATGGGGTATCCTGGGTGACTCCAAAATCACCCGCAGGGTTCCACGTCGCGGAACTCGAAAACACTAGCACCTGGATCCCTTCTGGACATCGAAATTTTCCTGGGTTTTTGTAGATTGTACCATGTTGAACTCCCAGCTTTTAATGCTTAAACCACCATTTTTGATGCTTATTTTTGATGTTTTGGTTCCAACTTTAATGATCGTTTCCCCACTTCTTAAAGCTTAAACAGCGGCATTTTTTTAAATGGCAGAACGACCATTTTTGACGCTTCAACTCAATGTTCAAACCCCTAGGTTCTCACGGTCATGGTCTATGCCACCTACAACATCAGCGGTGCTCAGCTGAACCCCGCGGTGACCTTCGCCTTGACGTTGCTGGGAAAGAAGTGCCGCGGCATCAGCAGCTGGGTGCTGGAGGGGTTACATGCCATGTGGATCTACTACAAAAATCGAACATGGGTCATATGTTGAGCGTGTTGAGCCACCCTTATTTTGTTGTTGTTTTTTTTTGGTGTAGTTGATCATTCTGACCCACCAAATTGTCGCTTGTATATTCTTGGTACAAAAAATCTGGAGCCACCAGCGCTGTCGAGCCACATTTTTCAAGCGCTTTGCGCAAACAGTGCTGTCTAAATCGTCGCTGAGGACCTGGAGCAAAATGGTGGGCAACTGGATCTTCCAATTCATGGGTGCCTTCCTGGCCGCCTCGGTCTACAAGATCATCTGTCGCTTGGAGATGACGGAGATCTGGTAGCTGGGAGCGTTTGGAGGTGAAACACCTTCGAGATCGCTGGTGATCCAGGGATATTCGCATGTTTGCAACTTGTGGTTTTGGAGCGTTTGTGAACAGCCCATCCTGGCAGTCACCCAGTAGTACTTGCCTATTCTGGGTCAATCTTGGTAGCTTGGAGTTTTTAGGGTAGCCCAAAATCTCAATGGTCGATCGTCATTTTCCCAGGAACATGGCAATTTGGGGGAGTCCCTCATTTTTTGTTAACTCCTTGCAGGATATCCAAGATTATCCGATCATATTTTTGTTCTCGGTCTCTGGACAATCTCAGGGAAACCTCATCCACCTCGCTTGAGGGCAAAGAACTTCAGCGTGCAAGTAATGGTTTCTAGCAAGAACACCTGTTTCATCCCAAGAATCTCCGCGACACCTCATGATTCAAGCTGTGTCTTCCGAACAAGATTGAAACAAACCCTCAAAGTCCTCTGTTCCAGAAAAAAAACACAATAGCTCCTCCAAACTCAACAAATCCATTGGAACAGGGGTGCCCACTAAACATGTCATCAGGAGATGTTTCATAATGATCTTTTCTCCTTAGACATTCCATTGCTGAGGTTTCCAGGGGCAACTGTTCCAACCAAAAAATACAGCAGCTCCCCGCAAACTCCAGAAAAAAGTCATCAAATCTTTACGACATCAAGTCAAAAACAAACATATATGATAGCACAATAGTAGCTCCCCCAAAGTCATCCAAAGTCCATAAACTATCATAAATTCAAGAAAATCTATCATAAATTCCAGAAAATCTATCATAAACTATCATAAACTCTCATAAACTCCAGAAAATCTATCATCAATTCCAGAAACCTCAACATCTTTTCTCCCCAATGACTTCTAAAAAATTCATCACTTTTCAGGCGCCCCACACCTGGCCGTGGTGGCCCCGGTGCCACCCTTCCATGTGGGCTATTCCTTGGGAGCTGAAGCCCTCTACACGGCGCGGTGTGGGAGGGGAGGGAATAGCTTGGTGGGCAGATTTGACGAAGATGTGGATTTTCAGACCCACAAGATATGGATTTTGGTGGATTTTGGTGGATTTTCATGGATTTTGGTGGATTTTTGGAATATGACTGTGTACATAATATAGGTTAGTAACCACGGATGCAATTCCTGGGATGCACGTTACCCAAGCTACTTGTAGACGAAGTGATCTATCAGAAGGCATATAATTTTCCTTTTTATGCTGCTTAAATTCTGGATTGTTCAGATGTTGAATGGAGAAATCCCAAGAGTTTCATGGGTTTCTTATTACTTATTCATCACAAGTAAATTGGGTTCCTTATTGTTACTTATTACTTATTACTTATAAAAGTAGCACATTATTTGGATAAATCCCTAGACTTCAAGACGTCAAGAGTAAAAAGGTTACTTACTCATATTAGATAGGTAGTTATCCACATGTTTATCCCATCAGGAGAAAATTGAATTCATGGGCAAATCATGGGTTTCTCATTACATTGGGTTACTCATTATTTGTTACCTATTACAGTACTTAAGTAACAAATTACAAGTAAATTGAATGTTGAATTCAAGTCCATAGAAGTTCCAATTTTCCATGGGTAAATCACTAATTTGTTGCTTCTCACTTCACGGCTTCGCCTGGTCAGGGCCTTCTGGTCTTTGTGGTTCTGAACTGCGCTGCACGACCCTCCAAGGAACCCAATCAGTGCCCTGGACGTGGGCCCATCACTCGACGCTGGCACTGATAAGCATATGATGGTTGATATTGATAATAACAAGAAACATATCCAATAACAAAAACAAAATCCATATCAAATGAACATATTGTTTGATATATTACATACTGTGATACATCACTAGTTTATAAATAAATGGTTGATAATCATACTATATCTTCAACCTGATATAATGTGACATTTCCCAACTATTGGTTGAAAGTGCCTGCTTAGATTCAACGCATCCAGTGCTTCTCCCCTACCATTCCTGGTGCTAGATCCACCATATTTGGTAATTCTCCAGATGGGGCCCCCAGTGATGTAAGTTGGTTCATAAACCATTATATATAACCTCCAGGAATACTAGTTCGTCAAAAATCTACCATAAATCATAGTTCATTCAGCCACAAAAATCTACGGCGTTTCAAAAAACGCTATCGCTCGCCCCATCCGATGGTGCTCCAGTAGATCTAGTCGTCTCCTCCATCCCTGATGGACAACAAAACCCGGGACTCTGTTCATAGCACCAACCCCCTAACATAGCCTCTGGTTATTTAACATAGCCATGGTAAATGGCCCATAGAAATAGATGCTTTGCCTATTAAGAATGGTGATTTTCCATGGCTATGTTAAATAATCAAATGGTACCTATCACATTCATAATATACGTAACTTAACACACTACAGTTATAATATGTTAGAATGTAAAACAAAGTATCACAGTTAATCACCAATCATAACATACTTAATGTCAACTCCAGATTAGTAAACCATAGTTGTAGGATCTTATAGGATGTTATAGGATGTTATATGATGTTATAGATATCATAAACCATGTTATGGGTATAACAACCAATAGATAACACCAATAGATGTTATAGGATGTTATAGGTATCTAGTATCTATATATCTATCACAGTGAATCACCAGGTACATACCCTCTGGTAAACTAACATAACTATGGAAAACCACCATTTTTAATGGAACAAACTCACTATAAATGGCCATTTTCAATAACAAACATTTTCAATAGCAAACTGTTAGTCATTACCAGAGGGTATCATAAACCATGTTATGGCTATAACAACCACTACCAGTCATTAACCATTATTAACCATTATATATATATAACCATCATTAACCATCATATAACCACTATTAACCACCATATAACCACCATTTAACCAGCATTGTTATGGCTATAACAACCAATAGTAACTGAACTGAGGTGCTTCGGCCTGGCCATCGGTTTCGCCTTCCTGGGCAGCGGCTACGCCTGCGGCCACATCAGCGGCGCGGCGCTGAACCCGGCCGTGGCGCTGCCGCTGGGGCTGGGTGGCGGCAAGGACAGTGGCCACGGCGGGGTGCGGAGGGTGGGAAGGGATGGAAACTGGGGGACGAAAGGGTGGTTTTCCTAGGAAAAATGGTGGAAAATGGTGGTTTTACCCAAAAAAATGGTGGAAAATGGTGGTTTTACCAGGAAAAATGGTGGAACATGGTGGTTTTACCATGGTTTACTGAGAAATTTCATGGGATTTCATGGGATTTTATAGGATGAAATGGGATGAGATTGGATTCAAGCAACAGTTTTTGATCCCATATTTTGCATTTTTTCAACAACGACAATGGGATCTAATATTCAACCAACAAAAATAGAATTCTGATAGGATTATTCTATAGGATTCTGATGGGATTTGAATGGAAAAATGGCAATTTTCAAAGTTTGAATGGAAAGCATTTAGAGAGATGAACATTTTTTTTTCACATTTTAACTGCATCTTTTGGTGTTGCTACAGAAAAGTCACATTGACGTGGAAATCAACCACTTACAGATAGTCTTGCTGTTTTTCCATGATGTCTAGGTTAGTTCATCCTGTTTCATGTTCAACCAAATCATAATTTACCAAAAATCCATCATAACCCTGTCCTTTCTTGTTCGTCACCATGTGCTCTGACTTAGTATTGACTCTTCATCATGTGGATGATGTCGCTGGGGACTACACCGCGATCGTCATCCTTTTTGTCCTCATCATCGTCACCTTCATATTTGGTGGGAATCGTCTCATGAGAGAATAAGTGGAACCGGGTGAAGGTGTTTGCGAGCAGACCATGCAAAGTCATGAAACCCATAAAAGGCTCAAAACATTGACTGTCAACAGAAAGAAACTGATGTGTCGCCTCAGCATTTGGGATCAAGGTGCCTATGGCATTGTCGCACCTGTCTGATTAGGAATGGACAGCTGCGAGGAGAATTGCGCCGTCCAAGAAACAGCTGGGTATGGTGATCAAGGTAGGTGGCTAACATGTGCAGTGTATGCTGTTTGTGGAGTACTGAGGCAGATGGTATGCACAAGGTATGGCATAGAGCTTGAAGATACATCGGACATGGCAAAGCGGATCGTCGGAATGAATTTGAAAAATACAGATGGAAAGGATATTCTTCAACATGGCATAGGGATTTCGGAGCTTATTAAGCAACTCAACCACAAGATGATGAAGCAGGACCTTTTGTTCTTTGAGAAAACGGATAGTGGAGCTCCTGGGGCGGCCATAAGATTCGAACTTCAACATAAACTACTGGACTGGCAGCGCCCCTGGGAATCCGTGTTCCAGATTCCTTCGAGGACTCCTTCGAGGCTTCGGGCGTTCTACGATTGTCCAAACTGGGTTGTCCATGCCTCCGGACCAGGCGGAACTCACAGACACCATGCGATGCAATGTCAGCAGTTGCTAATTGATTGCAGCCCAGGTGCGTGCCTCCTGTGTTCAAACAGTTGGGGTGAAGCCGAGAAGAACATGATTGTCCCAAACCACAGTATCTACCCGACAATTGAAGCTATTTGGGTGCTATCTGTGGATTCGGTTCAAAAGCTTAGTGATCCTGATTCTCTTTGGGTGGATGTCAATCTGAGCCGAGGGTCGTATGTACAGTATGTACAGTCCAGTTTCGGAAATCTAGAGGAACTTTCCTGCCGCAGATGCGGCATGCATTTTATGCGTGAGCACCAAAGGCCCAGGCCCAGTGCCAGCATTTATTCTTTGTTCAATACTTTCACGATTTTGTTTCTTCCTTTAAATTTTATTATGCCTTTCATTATGCCTTTCATTGATTCCGATGATTCCGATGATTCTGAGATTCACAGACCATGCTGTCCGAAGTGCAGTTGCAAATTGAATTGGCCACGCGTTGTAGCAGCCACTTGCCAACAGTACGGGTAGCAATGCCTCTTCCACAATGCAGGGAAGGAACGCAGTGGTTGAGACATGTATATTATTAATATATATATATATAAATATTTCAGCCCATCAAATGTTCGATTCGTTCGCACAATTTCGCAAATCATGTTTCCATTTCCAAGACCGAAAGAGAACATTTCCAAACCTGCGCTCTAGTCACGACGGCACTTGAGATTGACATAATATGTTCACAGGTCAGCCTTGCTGTCGAAACCGCACTTCTGAGTCTGGAAGACGAAAAAGGTCATGCTTGGACGAAGCATTCATGGGGTTCGCCCTGTTTAAGATTAAGACGCAACAAAAAAAAACGCCTGCCGCATGCCACAAGTTTGAGGACCCACTAATTATGGCTTTCCACCCGTTTACATGCTGACAGGCCTATGATTCCTGAGTAGCATGTTCATTTCTAGAACTGCAGACTCCTGTCCGCCGCAGGACGCGCAGTGGGCCTTCTGTTGGTTCGGTGCCGAGTTGGTTGGTGCCGGTTTGGCCACGGGGCTCTACTGGCTGCTGCGACGATCTGAGTGACTTGGATGGCTAGGATGTGGAAGGTTGGAACTTATCTGGGTTATAGCAACCCCCAAAAGGATAGAACCTTGTGTGTATGTATACATATATATATATATGTATAATATGTTACCAAAGTAATTATATAGTGGTAGATGGATGTAAATTGCATGTCTATCATTTTGGAGGGTTAGTATAAACGTTACTGGAGAGTTGTATGGGTCTCTATGTGCAATTTCTTGGGTTGTTTCTATTGTTGCCATTTATTTTTGGAATAGGCATCATATCTCATCCAGCTAGACATGGAATTTTGTAGAGTCAGGCGCAGGAAGGCCAGCATGTAACAGGCGGCTGTGGTATGCGCGAGACATGTGGACTCATGCTGGCCAAAATGCAAGTGAAACAAGTTCATATACACATTTTTCATCATTTTTCCTTGTTACATCCGATTAAATCCACAATTTTTCCATCATTTTTCCCAGTTAACATCCTACGTTTTTCTTTCAAAAAGATCCCTTTCCACCCCGGCGCCACCAAGGCTCCAGGTGGCGGCCGAGGTGGCCGCCGCGCCTGCCGCCCAGGCGGCGGTGGAGGGCGACACCGGCGCGGCGGCGCCCGGGACGCTGGAGGGGCCCAGCACGTTGATGCGGTGCCTGGCCGTGCGGGGACCCGGCCCAGCCATGGCCCAGGGGACCCAGGTGGTGGATATCTTAGTCTTGATATACCAAAAGTCGGGAAAAGGATGGAAAAAGATGGGTTTGAGAAAAATCCATGAATCCATGTGATTTTTGTGTCATCAAAATTTTAAGCAGAACATGTGAATTGTAAATACCCTCTGGTAAACGTTTACATAACTATGGAAAACCCACCCATTTTTCATGGGAAAATCAACTATTTCGACTGGGCCATTTTCAATAGCAAACTGTTTGTTTACCAAAGGGTATCTTCCAAGATATGGAGATGGGAGATTGATGGGAGAAATTGAAGGTGCATCACAGTGACATGTTTGTTGGTTTATGATGGTTATGACCCCCATTAACTTATTAGCTAGCTCGATACATCTACCATGAACCCTAGTGATTGGAGTGATAACCTAACTTAACTAACTATGGGGTACCCCCTTGTTTGCGACAACTTGGATACACAATTTTTGCAAATTGCATCAACTGGGTGATTATGTTTTTTGGGCAACTTGTATTGTTCTTATCCTCGCATTTTTTTGGTCCCTTTGGAGGGAGTCATAGGATCGAATGTGACAAACCCCGCTGGGGGTCGAGTTTACCACATTGAAAGTTAATGCACTTTCGGTGGGTTTTAATTTTGAACCTTTGCAGTAGCAGAATGGGGGGATGAAGCAAGAAAAATTAACTTTCCAGGAAGACACATGTGGATGTCATCAAGATTAAACACTAAGGATTCCAGTACTTAATCTGTTTCCATTTTTTTTGGAAATGCCATCTATAAATAATTGAACGTGCCAACGAAAACCATCATTTACATATTGTGCATTTTCGGAAAATGGACAAAGGCGGGAGAAAAGTAATCAGCAGATCACTCAGCAAGGCTCCACCCCGCTCTGCCAAGCACTAGGAAGCCCTTGGAACCTTTATGCTGATGGTCACGGTTTTCCGGCTGCATCACGACGTTTGGTTAATAATTACTAGGCTATATATTGGCGGTGTAACAATTGGGCTGGTCCAGATCCTCTGGAGCCAGAATGAATTGATCCCCAAACCTGCAGAAAGCCTGGTTCAGTGGTGAATCTATTCAATCCTTCTCACTGGTTGGTGGTTTGGAACATTTTTTATTTTTCCATATATTGGGAAAAATCATCCCAACTGACTTTCATATTTTTCAGAGGGGGGTGAAACCACCAACCAGATTCATCTTGGGGTCTCAGATCCACATTGTTCTCAGCACATGGGATTAGTTTCTGGACTTGATTGGGAATATGGCCAGTTCTTTTTTTGGCTCCCCGTACCTGGAGACATGGGAAGCTTCGACCGCTTAGCTGGGTGTACTTGGGCCATCATGGAAACCAATGGGCTCACAGTGCATATTGGGCTGATTTGGGGTGATTTGGAGCAAGATGGGGAGGTGCGGAAGCAATGGAAACAATCAGAAATCAGGATGATATATGTTGATTTTATATTTTCTATCAACAATCAACAATATCAGCAATATAATACCCTCTGGTAAACGTTTACATAACTATGGAAAATCCACCCATTTTCAGTGGGTAGTCATCCACTATTTCGACTGGGCCATGGCTTCAATAGCAAACTGTGACAAATTACCAGAGGGTACACAACAGCTTGTTGCATGTTTACCAGAGGGTAAATCACCATTAATTCACTATTAGCCATTAATAACCTCCATTAATAACCTCCATTAATAACCATTAATCACCATTAATCACCATTAATCACCATTAATCACCATTAATCACCATTAATCACCATTAATCACCATTAATCACCATTAATCACCATTAATCACCATACAAATAATATATGTTGACCCTGGAATGTTGGAGCCTCAACAGGTTATTGCGGAAGTTCCAACTTCGGGCGACCCTGGAAAGTTGGGGGCGGATCATTCGGATCGCCAGTTTTTGCCGGTGACAACAACTTGGGTCCTGGAAATTTGTTAATTTTTGCATGTATATAATTGTATAATAGTGTATAATAGTGTATAATAGTGTATAATAGTGTATAATAGTGTATAATAGTGTATAATAGTGTATAATAGTGTATAATAGTGTATATTGCTTGTAAAGAAAACTACAATCATTCTTAGATCTGAAACATATACACATATATGATTTGTAGATGAATATACTCGGTGGTGTTCTGGGGTCCGTGGCGCAGTCCCACGCAGCTTCGTGTCGAGGTTGGTCTGAACATCGTGTCTGGATCCCGTGCCACGGCCTACTCTGCAGCTGCCATGGTGATGTGCATGATGCTGAGCTGCAACTTGTGCAACTTGTGCCATGAAATGCTATGAATTTCATGGGATCTATCGCTTCTGGACCTGTGGAGGATCATCTCATGGAGTAACTGGTGATCCATGGCGATCCCACTACTGTGTTATGCCCCAAGGCTGTGACATGCTGTGACACGTTATGTAATCTGGGGCCAACACATGGAATTTACACCATGGGTGTTTCAATAGTCATAAAAATTAGGAGCTCACTGAGGAAAAATGGGATGAATTGTTGATGCTGAGATGCGCAAATATTGGAACCTAACCAAAGGGGACCCGAACATGAACACTTCAATACTCTGGCATTTGATCTCCGGGGAAGATGGATCGAAGCTGGAGGTAAGCCAACATTTTCATTGATCCAGAAATCATTGAATCATCTCTGGGACCCAACTTGACCAGACATGGCTTGCAGTTTGGGACTTTCCAAGGTCATCAACGGATGAATTGGAGCCCCAGTAAGCTTTGTGGGCAGTGTATGTAAGGACATATGTGTATATATATATATGTGTGTATAAATACACATACATACTTGAAAACGTGAAGGAACTTTAGTTCAAGGTGTCGGTCACCAACGCGACCTCGCCATGGCTTTAACATGATGTAGCACCAAAATTGGATGAGATTCAACCAACCAAAAGGGGGATAGTCCACCAACGAAAATGGGGATTCTGCAACTATCTAAACAAAAACCATTGATTTGGGACCCGATGAACGTTGTATATACTCACCAGTATGCCGCCAATTTGAATGCTTGAAATGTCACAGTACCATACCGTATCCAGTTTTTGTGGATGGGGCCCAAGTATAGAGTATGTACCCTCCGGTGATCAAACATGGCAAGGGAAAATCCACCATTGATGAATTTCCATGAATTTCCCATTTTTTAACCTCCATTGATAGTCAGAGGATTTTTTTGCTTTGCCCACTCCAACTTGAGCTTTTGTGGGGGCCTCGGCTGCACCCAGGATCTATGCCGTGGGCGACATTTCGGGTGGTCACTTCAACCCAGCAGCTGCTTGGATCTTGTGGAAAATCATCGTTTGTTTCAGATTTCACCAGACATCAATGGGTTCTATGGGTTCTTTGCGCCGGCAAAGTCGGGGTCCAACCAGCAACAAGGTGGATATAGCTAGCAAAGATAGGGATGTTAGATGTTTTTTTTGCAGAAATCAAAGGTGTTTCACCAGCTTTCGGATTTTATTTGGAAGGTGGGCTGATATGAGAATTTTTTGGGGTGCATCCCTCTTAGAAATCAACGATATATCACCATATATCACCCATATATTACATATATGTATATACATCAATGGGAATTTCAGGAACCTAAATTGGAGGTACCTACCATATATAAGGCCTATGTAAGGCCTATGTAAGGGAATATCCCCAGAAAATATGGCCTTATATGGTACAGTACCTTTATTTTAAGATCCTGAAATTCCCATTGAAATACATACTCTCAACTGGGGATAGGGTATTCATAGATATTCCATAGAAAGCTTGAGTGGAATGTGGTAATTCACTACTTACCAACTGGGATGCACATGCCGGCCAGTTGCGTCAATACTCCTATTTGACTAGCATTCCCAGTTCGCAAGTAGTCAATAACCAACATACACCGTATGGAGAATTTATACTGACTAAACATTTCCGGCCTGGTGCCCCAGTCAGAACCACACAAAAAATGCGATCAGGTTTTGGATGTTCATTCCCAACTGGGTGCTTTACATGGGTTAATTGGAGTTCATTGTATACCTATATATTCTAGTTATAGTATATTATAGTTATATATATAATATACATATATATATACACATACATAGAGATATGTACTTGCCGGTGAAATGATCAGTCTTTCCGGTGATTTTCAGATCTTTTTTGGGAACCCCCCTTTGTATGTTCATCAAATCCACAGTCTTGCTGCTGATCCAATGACCAGTTGAGTGAAATTCACATATTTACAATTCACATGTCTGCTTAAAATGTTGATGACATCACGAGTGCAAAAAAAAACACCTTAATTTTTTTCTCAAACCATCCTGAAAAAACCCATCCTTTTCCCGACTTTTGGTATCCCATCCCTAAAACCCTGGGTTTTGGGCCAAAAATCTCGCGAATTGAGGTGACCCTGGCCGTGGTGCTGGGCGGTCGCGGTAAAATCACCAAAGCCCTGGCTGCGAAGTACGTCTTGGCGCAGCTGGCTGCTGCGGCGCTGGCGGGCTTGGTGCCGTGGTCGAGAGTTCTTGGTGGAACATGGAGATTTCACCAAGAAACATAGGGATTGAATAATATCCCATTGGTTAATTAATTATATATTATATCCCTATCATATATTATATCCCTATTATTTCACCATTATATTATATACTATATCCCTATTGAATAATCAATAGTTGGTTAGTTTTAACTATAATAAACGGGGTGATTTGATGGGATACCAATAGGAACATAACTGGTTTAAAACTCACCAACTAAAGAGACTTCATGAGAGGTCCTTGGAGATCATGAAGAGTTACTGGGGTCGCTGCTGGAGTAAAATCCTAAGATCCACCATTCACCACCACTTTTCCAATCTTTGGTGCTTGGAATCGCATTTTCATCCCGTTAAACCAGCATTTTGTTGGTTACCCTCTGGTAAACTAACATAGCTATGGAAAATCACTATTTCTAATGGGTAAATCCACTATAAATGGTGATTTTCCATAGTTATGTTAGTTTATCAGAGGGTAAACCTTGGGCATAACCTTTTACCATGAAGGAAAAACCAGGTCCCCACGGTCCACGTCCCCAGGTCTATGCGGTCTACCACATGGGCTCCGCTGTCTCTGAGAAGTCCATCAAGTTGGTGCCGGGCCATGGCTACAGCGTCTTGCAGGCGGTATCCCATGCCATTCACTGGTGATCTAATGGTGATTTAATGGTGATTTAATGGTGATTTAATGGTGGTTTAATGGTGATTTAATGGTGATTTAATGGTTAATAATGGTGATTTAATGGTTAATAATGGTTAATAATGGTGATTTAATGGTTAATAATGGTTAATAATGGTTAATAACTGGTTAATAATCGTTAATAATCTATAATAGGGATATTAATGGTGATTTAATGGTGATTAACCCTCTGGTAATGGAATATTAATAATTGATTGGTGGTTTGGAACATGGCTTCTATTTTTCCATTCAGTTGGGAATTTAATAATCCCAACTGACGAACTCATATTTTTCAGAGGGGTTCAAACCACCAAGCAGTTAATCATTTTCTTCATTACCCTCTGGTAATGACTAACATAGCTATTGAAAATGACCATAGAAATAGTTGATTTACCCATTAAACATGGTGATTTTCCATAGTTATGTTAGTTTACCAGAGGGTAACATGCCATTTAGGTGGTATACCCCATTATCAGACACACCCAAATAATATCATTGATGATCCCGAAAAAAACCTCTTGAAACGTATGTTTTTTTTGACAAACTATGTGTGTTCGTTTTTTCGAACATTTTTTTCTGATTTGTTCAGTGGTCTGAAAGATGGTTGAAATTGTTGGTTCCAGCGTGGTTGTGGGTTTACATTTGTTGAAACTCGCACGACCATCATACATTGGCGGTGGGATACACGTCCACCCATACCAACTAAATTTTGGTGTATTCGACGAAGGACACCATTGACCCACGGTCAGAGACGCAACAAGGGGTGCATGGTTTATTGGAGTTATACTTCGTGTTTTCATGGGAGCTGTGGTTTTAATATGGGAAACCCACCGTAAATCAACCAGCAATGGTTTGGGGATGACAGGTCGGGTGAATTGGGCAATGTTCAAACGACTTGACCCACACCCGCATACCCTGCAGGAACGGTGTTTTTAAAAACATCAAAATTTACTTCCAAATGTTTGGCAAGTGGGATACTTCATCTCATTATAAGATTGTCAGTTCCCTCAACTCAAATATTTTGAAGCTCAAATCCTACTGAATCCTGACACCGTCCACTATTTTGATGGTGAACTTCTCAATATTCAGATGTTCAAATCCTATATATATATATAACCCCCCATGATGCTAAAATCCTACTAAATCCACAAGAATCCCGACATGTTCCATCATTTTTCCACCATTTTCCTGGTACAAATCCCAACGAATCGACGTCCGCAGGCGGCACTGGCCGAGTTGGTGGCCACCATGGTACTGAGCTACACCGTGCTGACGGTGGCCACTGTGGAGGCGCTGCTAAGAAAACTCGGTGGGGAAGAAAACACATGAAACTTGGGCTGATTAATGGTGATTAATGGTGGTTAATGGAGGTTATTAATGGCTAATAGTGAATTAATGGTGATTTACCCTTACCCTCTGGTAAACAAACAAAAAACTATTGAACATGGCCATAGAAATAGTTGATGACTACCCATTAATAGCATGGTGATTTTCCGTAGTTATGTAAACGTTTACCAGGCCGGGTAGGGATTCCAGCAATGGGATTATGGGATTGTGGACGAAATCCCGTTGGAAAATCTGGGGTTTAATGAAGTTTGAATGGAGTGTCATGAGATTTTGATGAGATTTACCTAAAGAATCATGGAGGTACAACCATCGTACTTGGGATTTATAACCACAATGGTGGGTAAAGAGTAAAGGATCTCAAAACTTAAGATGGAGAACATACAAGTGGAGGAATACCATTAGCATTATTCTGCACTATTCTACATACATTCAATAATGATGGCAATGATTTAGTGAGTATCTGAGTAAGTGGGGAGAATTTGAGATTTTAAACCCAACTCACTTACTTAAAATTTAAATCTCAAATTGGTGAGTTGTTTTTTAAGCCTCAAGCACTTGTTTTTTTTTTAAAGATTGTTGAAGCACATTCGACGGGAGGACTTCACCTTTCACGGGGTTTCACTGGGATCATGATGGGGATTTCTGGATGAATGGGATATACAATGACCGGAAAAAAAACACATGGGATTGAAACATTTAAACATTAACAACATGTTTTAACCAAGAAAGACATGATTTAAATGGGAATGATATGGAAGAGCTATGTTAGTTATGTTGGTTGGTGGCTCGGTTACCCCATCGAAGTATACATATATCCGCCGTAAGTCCTAGTTAGAATCGTTATAAGCACTTAGAATAGGGACTAAACTTTTCAAGATGGGGGTACACTATAACCCATCAAAATGTGGGTCCAATCTTAAAAAGGAAGATTTAAGCACTAGACTTGGGGTTGGTGGGGGAGGAATTCACTTTGCGCACTAAAAAGGAAGGATAGATGTTGGATTTGTATACGTATATATATATATACTGGTTGGTGGTTTGGAACATTCTTTATGTTTCCATATATTGGGAATTTCATCATCCCATTTGACTAATATTTTTCAGAGGGGTTGAAACTACCAACCAGTAAAAAAGTCTTAAGTTAATGCACGATGGCCCAATCCCTCATCCAATTTTTTCCTATTAGTCCCCATCAGGTGGTTTTAACCCTCTGGTAAACTAACGTAACTATTGAAAATTACCCATTGACTTCGTTGAGGTGAGTTGGTTTGGAAAACCACTTTTGATTTTGGTGGTGATTCACCTAACAACGATTTTCAGCAACTGGCTTTCTTGCAACGATGGATCCAGTGCGGCTCAACATTCCACAGGAGCCAACTGGATTTTCCAAAACAACTTCCCAACTGTTGGGGGTGAACATCGGATCTACTTTTCAATTGACACCCTCCGGGAAATAACCATATTATATATATACACATGTACATGTACATGTATATATATATGTATACGTATACAGTATATGTATGTATATGTATATGTACATGTATATGTACATGTATGTATATACATATATATGTATATATATATATGTATATATATATATGTATATATATGTATATGTATATGTATATGTATATATAGATGGAAACGCACCAATTTACAGATGATTTGTTGAACTAGGTGATTTTCCACAGCAATGAACTACCAGAGGCGATATCCAGTTTGTTTGTTTAGACAATACATACCCAATCTATTTGGCCACTGCAAAAGACATGGTTTTCCCTTGGCTGGTTAAAGACCATAGCAACACCAAGAAATAATTGAAACGTTGTATCCATTATTATTCGTTGATATCCATGAACACCGCTTAAAATCCAGAATGCATCCCATTCTCATTCCGAGTTTTTGATGGTTATCCCATGATCATCCTTAATTTGTCCAATGTTTGATGTTGTTACATTGTTGTTTCTTCCCATAAACTCCCAGTAAATCCCATGAAATGCCACGAGATCCCAATGAAATCCTATGAAATCCCTAGGGTTTCCAGGTTTTTTCCATCCAAAACTTCCGCGTGAGGGCTACGTGAAGGACGTGGCCGGCCTGGTGGTGGCCTATGCCCTCACAGCTGGCAGCTTTGCCGTGGGATCCGTCTCGGGAGGTGCGTGGTCATCGTGGTCATCCGTGGGGAAAATCATGGGAAATCGCTATGAAAACCATCGGAAGCAAGGAAAATAGGGGCATTTTTGACGAAAATTCAGTGATATCAGTGATCATTTCTCCGTTGTCCCCGGAAAACCATAGCAACATGACTAAAAATAAGGTTCTTGACACTTCCAAACCAGGAAAGGTGGGACAACTATCCGACTTAAATGGATGGTTTTATAGATGGGAGAAGGACATCGCATTATGGCTGGTGGATTGTTCAAGTGCCACGCAGCGTGAAAACTCGGAGTATACTGGGGGATATTGTGGGGATATCATGGAAGCATATCTTGTTCAATACCTCCCAGCATTTTTGATGTGGGACCCCGGTTTCTTAGCCAAGTTGGTTCTAAGTAGGTCAACCAGGATTTATGGTACATAGATACATCTATGTATATACTTACTGTAATTGGTTTTATAAGCCAACTTAGCCATCGTTTGGGGGCCCCACATTGTTGGAACATAACGGGGAGATATGATTATGTAAATCAATTGACATCATGTGTTTCTTTTAAATGTTGTAGATCGCTTTCAGATTCCCAGAGGGCAAATGGGAGATCCTCTGGTAATTTAGCAGTCTATAAAGCGGCAAATTTCCATAGTTATGTTGAATTACAGGGGGTATATATAAGCAACTATATCTGGTTGGTGGTTTGGAACATTTGGATTATTTTTCCATATATATATATATATATTGGGAATAATAATCCCAAATAACTATATGCAACTACCCTCCGGTAGTCAAGAGTGGCTTGCTGGAAAATCCCTGAACCATGGCTGGAGGTTTAACAGTTCGCAGTGATTTTTACATCGAACCATGGCTGGTTTTTTGTTTCCAGCCATAGAGCTGATTACCAGAGGGTATACCCTAGGAAAATGGGTGGTTTAATGGGTGGTTTAATGGGATTTAATGGGATTTCATGGGATTTCATGGGATTTAATGGGGTATACCCTCTGGTAATGACTAACATATGGAAAATCACCATAGAAATAGTGAATTTTCCCAGGAAAAATGGGTGGATTTTCCAGTTCGTTATGTAACCATTTACCAGAGGGTATATAACTATTTCAACTCCGACTTAGCTGTTTCATTAGGGGCCAATTGAAAAAGTGGATGACCTCACTACTTGGGAGTACTCCCGGGTACTACGCAAACCAGGGTTTATTGATCCGGGGTTGACAGTATTGAATTAGATACTGGGATTATTTCATATATATTATATATATACTTATCAATGATTGTAGAATGTACTGCATATTTTAGTCAGATATTACATTTATTACATAAAATATAGATAGATAGATAGATAGATAGATAGATAGATAGATAGATAGATAGATAGAAAGATAGATAGATAGATAGATAGAAAGATAGATAGATAGATAGATAGACAGATAGTTTTCTCCACAAAAAGATGCAGACAAGGTTCAACTCACATTTATTTTTGTTTTAAAGGTAAGATCTACAACTTTTCTATCCCTCTGGGGAGGTTCATCTAGTTTTCATTCTCAAAGTTGGGATCATCCCCAGTGTTCAACGTAAGTTCTGATATCCAGTCATATATATATATATTATGAATATCCATAATCCTCGTACAAATCCATATAAACCTATAGAACCCCATAAAAACTTGTACAAATCCATATAAACTTGTACAAATCCTAAACTTATAGAAACCTATACAAACTTATCAAAAGCCATATTTTTGTTAGGTTTCACTCACTATGCATGTCTTGATGGGTTGTTTTTTCCCGGCAGGTGAGGTGAATCCTGCCGTGGTTCTGGGCTTGGTCCTGGGCAACGTGGTAAATCCAGGCGCGGTTTTTTCAATGTTCATGTCATTTCAAGCCTGCAATGTGGGGCCTCCGTTGACGAAATCGCTAAGTTGGTGAACATCACTTCAATAACTATATGGTTTATGAGACCATATGGTACCTATACCCTCTGGTAAACGTTTACATAACTATGGACAATCACCATGCTATCAATGGGAAAATCAGCTATTTCTATGGTCATTTTTAGTAGCTATGTTTGCTTACCAGAGGGTAAGTTATTACAAGAGGATGGCCCAATCCCTCATCCAATTCTTTCTTATTCTTCCCCACCAGGGGGTGTTTACCCTCTGGTAAACTAACATCTCTATTGAACATGACCAATTGACTTCGCTGATTTACCTATTCAAAATGGTGATTTTCGAGAGCTGAATTAGTTTAGCAGAGGGTATCATGGCAAGATTTCATTTAGCAACGGGTGAATGAATATGAATGAATAAAATCAATGCATGATATATATATATACACATTGATATACTATTGGTGATAATTTAGATGATTGTATTTTGTTTCATGGAAAAGTTCACGGGATATATCTCAAACTTCGTTTGCTGATCATCTGCAAAAGACTGAGGTATATTTTCCATGCATTTCCCATGTATTTCCAGCAACCAAAAAATGATGATATACCTGCGAAGATCGGATGGGTTTGGGTTTTTGAACGGGCCAATTGCATGTTTTGGGAGTGATCATCGATTTCATTGTAAGGATGCCCCTTATGATACCATGTAACCAACCAGGCACGTTTTTTGTGATACCATATAACCGGTAGAAGGTCATGAAGGTCGTTCAGAACTTCGGGGATCGCAGGATCTCGATGTTTGAAAGCCATCCAAAATCATGGGATTACCCTCTGGTTATGTCAAAATAGCTATTGAAAATGGCCATTGAAATAGTGGATTTTCCCATTGAAAATGGTGATTTTCCATAGTTATGTTAATTTACCAGAGGGTAATGAACCACCGTTTTCAACTGGTGATTCGGATTTCGCTGGCCCATCCACGTCGTATCACAATCGTTGGGACTTTTTTTTGGCAAAAAAAATCCCGTGAATCGTCTGACCACTTTTGGTGACCAGCGAACTTGTTGGTCACCACGGGGGCCACAACCATAATCTAATGATCATAACATAGAATAACAATCGATATCTACTGACTACTAGTGAAACTTGGCTGGTTGGTGGTTTGGAACATGAATGGATTACTTTTCCATATATATTGGGAATTGTTAGCCCCAATTGACGAACTCATATTTTTCAAGATGGTCAAAGCCACCAGTGTAGATAGATGATTAGAAACTAAATCCAGTACCCTCTGGTGAACTAACATAGCAATGGAAAATCACCATTTTTAATGGGAAAATCCACTATCAATGGCCATTTTCCATTGCTATGTTAGTTCACCAGAGGGTACATCCTAAGTTTGGGATTCAACATGGCTCCAGCTGGTGATTTTTGACGCACATGACTGGTTTGCACACCATGGTTGGTCCGCGCCAGGAAAGGGCGGCCTCTTGGACTGCACAAGGGATTGGTTTTCACGGGAAAATCTTAACCGGAAACCATGGTTTTTACCATCAAATATAGGGGTTTCCTGTAATTTCCCATCATCCAATTCTATGAAACTTATGTTGATTATAGTGTTTCTATAGTTCAGATCGCCATGAGGTGATCTTCAATGATCTTCAATGTGAAGATGGGGGACCAACTCAATTGACGAGTTTTTTTTTGTGATAGCCATGAAGATGGGGGTAAGGACCAACTTCATTGACGATTTTAGATGCTTTATGTAAGGTACCTATTTGGGGGTATGGTAGATCGGATGTTAGATGATCATCTTTTAATGATTAGATGCTTTATAGCAACCCAAAGTCACAGATAGAAAGTTGGACAGTTGGACGCCAGCATCCAGGCAACACTTTTCGGCATCTGGGGACCCCTTTTTGATCCCTCTAATGTACCTAGATCCTTGCCATTTCGGAGATGGCCCTCAAGTGACCCCATTTTCTAGGCAGAAAATTCTGGAACAGTCTATTTTCCACATTTTGCCTCAGGATTTCTGGGAATTCTACTCATTCCTTTTCGGTTTTCCAGAGAGATACCATCCGGTTATTTAACATAGCCATGCAACATGGACCATTTACACTTACTGTAACGGTTTGTGAAGGTTTACTGATTTACCTACAAAACATTGTGATTTTCCAGTTTGCAAACCGTTACATAACCAATGATAAGGGTTAGAAGTGCCAAATTCTTCGTGCGTTTAATCCTCATTTTCAATGGTTACATCCCAATTTTGAGAGTAAGGGGTTACATCCTCATTTTCGGTTGTTACATCCCAATGTTCAGTGGTTACATCCCAATTTAATCCTCATTTTCAGTGGTTCCATCCTCATTCGTGGTTTACCCTCAACGTTTACATAACTATGGAAAATCCAACCATTTTTAATGGGAAAACTCACTATAAATGGCCATTTTCAATAGCTTTTTGTATGTTTACCGGGTAAATCACCATTAATTCACTATTAGCCATTAATAACCTCCATTAACCTCCATTAATCACCATAAATCACCATTAATCAACCCACCTTTTCCCCAACTTCCCTGGAACCATCTTCGAAAGCGAGGTATGGGGCCCGCTATGAGTTGGATTGACTCTTGGTTTTTATCCCGGAGGTCACCAAAATCTACAAAGTGGTGCCCCAGTTCGATAGCTAAGTTGGTTTATAACTCCAATAACTAGGACTTATGGTAGATATATCTATGGTTTTTCTGGGGTTATAAACCAACAAACATCACTGGTGGGGTGCCACATAGTAGGGATTCTTTTTTTTTTTCGGGATGTCATTGGGATAAAAATCACCTCAAATTGTTTTTTTTTTTCACATTTTTATAGGGATTGGATTTCATGGCGACTATAATAGTATCTATAAGTGGGATTTGAAGATATTTTTGAATATTCAGGGGATATTGCGATTTTTTGCACTCCGGTGTCATCAAACGTGGCTGCAAAACGTGCTGGGAAAATCACCTCTAAATGGTGATCCATCCATTGCCACGTTTGATGACCGGAAGGTACATATTGAATGTGTTGGATGATGGTTGTCGTTTTGACGATGACTGAACATTTGGATCATGCTAGTCTTGGAAAACCTCAGATTTTTGCTTGGGATTGGAATGATTGCATTCCCAAGTTTGGCATAAACCATTAATGTGGGTAAAACAATTTCATAAACCATCCCCAGTCATCACCATATATATATATATATAGGTGGTCTAAACCCGTATTGTTTTACCCACATTCTCTATCCTCATTCCATCTCCTTGTTCAACTTTCCTGGTCGGACCAGGATGACTATCCCAGTGGGTTTTTGGACAGGTGACTCCCACAAGGTAGACATCGTAAAGTAAAATCCCACTGAAACAGGGAGAAATATGGAAAATCCCGCTAAAATAGGGATACTGAAAAGTAATGAAAAATAATGCAGCCCCCCATCTCAACCAGTTCTATCAGTTTAATTATTGTTCTATCCCTTTGTGAATCTGATTTCAACTGAGAGCATCCATATTTTTCACATGAAAACCACCCAGGCCATGGTGAAATCTGAAGTTTTCGGCTGAAATTTGCACGAAAACCGAGGTCGCAGTCATGATGTCCGGTGGTGAAATGCCAATGTTAACGGTGCTCAGATCATCTTGAAGCCCTATATTTTCCGGTAGATTTTCCCGCCATGCCTGGTGGCTAAATCCATATTTTGGTTGGCAAAGCCCTTATGATTTCCCACATATTTTTTCAACATCCGAAAATTGAAATTCGCAACAAATTTCCCATTGATTGCCATTGATGTCCTCATATTCCCCCAGAAAACGGTCACAAGTTCCGTCAGAGGCCCTGCTTTTGTGCGAGTTCTTGGGTGCGTGCGTGGCCGCAGCCTTCTTCCGCATCACCCACCGTCAAGAGTTCCTGCCGCTCGGCCCTGGTGCTAGACTTGGTGACTTTTGGAGGAACAAAAATGAACAAAACATGTTGATTTTTAACATGTTTTTTCTTGGAAATATATACAGAAATATAGAATGTTATATTTTTGGTGTTTTTTTTGACCATTTTCTGTACTAAAATAGTGGTTGATTTTTTTGGGAGTTGACCTCCAAACCATGGCAACGAGAATGGGCTGTCAAGATGTTTCAACCAGGAAAGATGTGATTAAAAAACGCGGTTTAACAACACTTGGCTTGGGGCGAATTGGGGTTCTGTCGTTCAAAAGCAGGAACAGTTGGGTTGTCGGCACTGGCATAGAACCAAAAAGCCGTTTCGAGATGGTTCGGCGCAAGTTTTCTGGGCTTACCCTACCTGGTGGTCATCAGACATATCCTCGATTCTTCAAGAACCATTTGTAGACCACATGGCAAGTGTTCATGGCAATAGAAAAAATCCATGCAGGACTGCATCCGCCTTTCTGAGGCCCAAGGAAGCTAAAAAAGATGTGAAGGGATTGCAGGACGGGGATGAGCAAGCTGGATGGATCCGTTCACTGGACAGCCACATTGAGTTTTTGAGTGTTGCACTTGGATTTACCCTCTGGTAAACGTTTACATAACTATGGAAAATCACCATTTTCAATGGGTAAATCCACTATTTCAATGGGCCATTTTCAATAGCTATTTTGACATAACCAGAGGGTAACATGATTTAACACATAAGCCACTAAAACTGAAAAACAAAGTTTTGGCAGATTATCAGACCGAGTGAAAAAAACATCCCATCCCGATCTCAACCCCCCTGGTTGTCATGTTTCGCTATTAAAAACCAAGGTTTGGTGGATTTTGGTGCTGGTTGGGTGTCAAATTATCACGTTTGGCGAGATCTGGCGAGACTCTTTCTCTCTCTCTCTCTTTCTTTTTTGGGGGCAACCGACACTTTTCCCGGTGAAGTCAGAATTCTGCGGTGAGGACGCCGCCGGCGCCGATGTGGAAGCACCGTCCGCCTAGGCGGTCGCGTCGTCACTGGTGACCCAGCGATCGGATTTTGAGGGGTCCAAAATGATTGTTTTCAGGGGAGAATAGGATTAGAATAGGACTTAAGCATCATAGGGATTAGAAATGATTAGAATAGAGATATTTAATGGAGACTAATGGGATTATAATATATTATAACGGGATTAACATGGGATTATCAGGGGATTATCATGGGATAAAGCATTTTATTGTGGGATAGATGGGTTTTAGCTTTCATAAACCAAGACGTTACCCTCAAGTAATTTGGTACCTTCCTATTGAAGGTAAATCCTCCAACAAACGGGCCATTATCCAAAGCTATATTAAATTACCGGGTATATAATGGGATTGAACAATCCAAAAAAGGGCTTAGAATAGAGATACTAGGGATTAATAGGGACTAATCTGCATATGGGAGTGGAATTGTAATTTTTTGGGATTTTTCTGCTGGAACTCAGCAGAAAACAAACAGGAAAGATGCTGTGGTTGACTGGGACGATCGGGAGATTTTCGTTTACCAACCAAATGGGAATTTACCCGGCCTGGTAAACGTTTACATAATTATATATGGAAAAACACCATGCTATTAGTGGTAGTCATCAACTATTTCGACCGGGCCATTTTCAATAGCAATGTTTGTTTACCAGAGGGTAAACTAAACATGACCAAACATGTTTCTTTTTGTTGTTGATAGAAAGGGTAGAATGCTACTTTATTATATAGTTTATGAAAGGATGTTTACTTGTCATATGACCATGGGAGTGACCATGGGTACAGGCTGGTGCCCCTTAAAAGCCTTAGCTAAGTTGGCTTGGGACTAGCTTAACCCTTTTTTTCTTATATGGTTTATGTTAGGCTTTATGTGTTTTTATATGGTTGGTGCTGATCATACAATGTGAGGCCCCCCAGTTATAAGTTGGTTTATAAGCCCCAGTAACTATAGTTATAAGTACCATAAACCCTAGTTATTGGAGCTATAAACCAACTTAGCTATCTTGGGGGCCTCACATTGTAAGTATAGTTAGACGGGTTTATAAATCAACAAACATCATGGGAGAATGGTCCCAATCGAGGAACAAAAAACCAACAGCAACCACGATTCGTAGATCAGAAAACCGAACGGAAAAACCATGGCACCATGGTGCGTGTGAACATGCCATGAAAAGAGAGCGTGTTTAACCAGAGTGTTTCTAAACATGGTTAAATATCCTAAAGCCATGTGTGGTATGTGTCCAAAGAAGTGTGGGTTTCTAAACTATCAGATAAACACCAGAGTGTTTCAAAATCAAATTAAGATGGTGGTATGTATCCTTTTTCATGCCATTTGTATTGGGGGTATGTATCCAAAACTGTCATTGAAATCCGAAACAAAAACAAATAATATCCTCTGAAACTATTTACCATGATATAGCCAGATGTGAATATGCAATCTTATGTAAACCATCGCGAACATCTGCTGGTTAAAAACTTGACAACCCAAATTAATTAATTTGAATCATTTGGGAACGTTTTCTGGTTGGATTAAAAAAAAACCAGTCGCCAGGCGGCCCATGTTCAAAAAGAGCTTTTAACTCGTGGTTTTTTTATGCGGAAATCTCTTGGAATTGACCATTTTAGAGGACTTTGGGACTTTGCGACACAAAAGTGGTTCAACATCGCCCCCACAGTTGACGATTCGCCAGCGGTAAAGGTTGTATCTTAATTATCCCATTGCTTGATGCCAACTTCTCGTTGGATATCCCACTTGCGAAAACAATCGAACAACACAACTTTTCATGATACATGTCTTACATTGTCTTACTTTTTTTTGCTGCCTCAAAGAGACCCCATTTTCTTGGAGTCAAGTCACCATTTTGGATGATTTGTTCAATGGTAATTTCAGGATCCAACAGATGGAGGTACGTTAGTACCATATAAGGCTATATTTTGTGGGGATATTCCCTGAAATGACCATTGATTTGTGCTTGTTTTTTTTTTTGATACGCAATCGCACATCCAACCTGCAGCCCAGGTTTCAGTTCCAACTCTTCCGCGCCCAAAGCAGCCACCTTTTTGCGGGCGCCAAGCGGCACACACAGCGTTTGTGCCAACAAAAAGTGTGTTTTTTTCGTGGTGCAGAAAACTTACAAGAGGTGGAGGTGAGATAGTGAATCTACATAAGCACACACACATGTTTATGTGCATAGACTGTATAGAAACTATATACTTATATGAGGTTTGATGTTTTTCGCACGAGTTGACCAACAAAGATTTGGAATTGAAACAATCAAAACCAGGATAGAATGGACCAATAGAGGCCTCAAGAGATGGTATAGGTTTTTGATACCAGATGGTAGATGGGCAACATCCCATCATAATCCCATGATTTACAGTGTTTCATAGGAATCCCAATAGTTACCAACTAGCGGACTACGTGACTAACGGTGACTAACGGTTGATATTGCTCAAGAACGGGGTGACTGGAAACAAAGTCTGACCCTGCCCAAGAAAACAGGGTAGACCAGTAGGTTGGGTTGCTTAAGGGGTTTACTTTTGGCCAGAATTGGAGGAATATGATATCCCACCGTCGTTTCTTGTTTCTCGTCATCCTAAATCTCTGTTTAAGAACATTTTAAACTTGAGAGAATACTTGAAAGCTACTTCAAATCCATATTTCGCCAGTTGAATCTCCAACTACTCAGTTGGTTTACCATCAACTTGATCTTCCAAGACAGGTCATTCCAGCCTTCACCCGGAAATGTTCGGGAGAAAAGGCACCCGGAAATGTTCTCCCGGGATTTCCGCTGTGCCTTTGGCTCATGGCTAGGGAGATCTGAAGCCGAGTTTAGTTGACATGTTAGCCTTGTCCACTCAGTACTTCAACCCATCTAGTGCCTGATAACTTCTATATAAGTTGTAAGCACCAAGATATACCAAGATCAAAGGGAAATTTGAAAAATTCCCGTGAGGAATGCGGCCTGCGCACTCATTGCACACAAAAAAAGCCAACATCCCTTCACAGCCAAACACATCATTTCGCGAGCATTCAACTGAAAAACAAGTACCAAGCAACCAAAACAGTCCTATGAAGATCAACTTAACACTTCAAACAGAAATCAGGTACACACCACACCCCAGGCTGTTTGAGTTCCAGGGACGAAAACAGTGCCCTGGCTGTTCCCGGGACGAATCCGTTCCCTCCCCGAACCCCGAACTCCGAAGCGTAGTTGGCCGTCCGTTAGTGACTGGCCCATGCACCCGAGCAGCGAAGTGGGCTGAACTTGCACCTTGGCGTTTGAAGGGCGAATCTGGGACGGGTAGCCCAATACAGTTTGCTGGCATTACAAGGTGGGGCCCCCCAAACGATAGGTAAGCTGGTTTATCCTTGAGCCAAATATGGTCTATCCCTGGTTAGATAGAAGTGTTGATCACTCAATAATTTATAGCAACCCCATAATAGATAGATAGATAGATAGATAGATAGATAGATTGATAGATAGATAGATAGACAGACAGACAGACAGAGAGACAGAGAGATAGATAGATAGATAGATAGATAGCTAGATAGATAGATAGACAGATAGATAGATAGATAGATAGATAGCTAGATAGCTAGCTAGCTAGCTAGCTAGATAGATAGATAGATAGATAGATGTATATATATATACACATCATATACAGAATCTCTCTCTCTCTCTCTATATATATACTGTGTATATTATGATAGATGTATATATATATATATATACATACACATCATATACAGAATCTCTCTCTCTCTCTATATATATATACTGTGTATATTATGTATAGTCAAAAAGTAGGTTTCTGACTCAACTAATGACTAGGGGGCACCACGTTGTCTAACCTCTTCGTGGGACCCAATGAACAGATCATCCTACTCCGTTGTCGTTTCGGCTACCAATTCATCCGGATGAAATCTGGGAAACCTGCTGATTCGGAATCCAGATCTGAAACATTCAACGGTTAAGAAAAAGAAACGGAGCGTCTAAACATGGGGTATACCCCCAACAATTTTGATCGGGCACATTGTGATTGACATTGATTAACCATCAACATTCATTCGAATTCAATGAATTTCAGTTTTCCCCCGACTTTCAAACAAACCCGTAGAACCATATAACATCAACATTCACAACTATTGAACATCACCATTTTTTTATCGGTAATTCAACTATTTCGACTGGGCCAGAAATTCCCAGAAAGATACCCCCTACCCGTTTCGCGGCCGAAATTTTTTGAGGCCCAAAACACATAGCACTTTTCACAGCGCTCGCAGGTTCAGCCATGATCAATACCAACAAGTCGGCGGTCGGGATCGCCTTGGGGTATGGGTACCATGGGTTTGACCAAAACCCCCCATAGAGTTGGGATATAAGCCCAAGAACTAACAGGTTGCGACATAGAAAATTGCAAATTTATAGTTGAATTGCCCATAAGAAATGGTGATTTTCAATAGTTATGCTGGTTTACCGGAGGATAATTATGGTTATAGATCCACTTAAAACTGGGACTGCAACCTCTGGTAGGCCAAAATATCAGTGGAAAAGAACGATTTTTTCAACTGTACTGTACTGCGAAAATTGTTGTAGATATCGGGGATTTTTCACCAGGAAAGATTACCGGAGAGGTGAACCGGTACCATCTGGTAGACTAACATAGCCATGGTATAGATGGCCCATTTATAGATGATTTTCCCAGCTAGAAACCTCCAATTGTTGTTGGGATTTTCCAGTTCGCTATGTTAGTCATAGCCAGATGGTAATCCAAAATTGATCCCATTGGATAAAGATGAGCTTTACCAACATCAATTTATTTCCATATTCCAATGGGAATTTCAGGATCCTAAAATGGAGGTACTGTACCATATAAGGCCATATTTTGGGGGGATATTCCCTTACATAGGCCTTACGTAGGCCTTATATATGGTAGGTACCTCCAATTTAGGTTCCTGGAATGGCCATTGAATATTCCAATGATCTTCAACAACACAGCTGATTTTCACACTGCTCATTTGAACAAGGGACCTGACCTGACCTGACCGAAAAAAGAATCTAGGTCTACAATCACCAGGGCTACCAAGGGAGCGATCCCTTGGTCGTTGATCTCCAGGAAATTTCTTCACTCCCCATTTCTTCATGATTCGCTTTCATGAATTCATGAAGGAACAGTCGAGTCTATTGGTTGGTTGATGATGGTTGATGGTTTCAGACATGTGATTTTTCCGTCATATATGAGATAAAGATGTTAGCTGTCGATCATATGCTTGGCACGGCTTGGAATCAGCAATCACTTCATCACTTCCAAACCAACAGTCTGTTCTGAGACATGGCTTTGTCCAAACCATTCTAATGGGGAATATGACCATCATTGGAATCCCGACATCGAATCTGAGGCGAAGATGGCTTCCTTCAGTAGTGGCATCATGCTCTCCAGGCGCCCTGGGACCTGGAGTTGGGCTTGGAGAAGCTCAATAAATCGGGACTTACCCTCGCGTAAACTAAGATAGATGTGGAAAACCCACCATTTTTAGATCAATTTCCGTGGGAAGCCAGTGAATTTCCACATCTATGTTAGTTTACCTGAGGGTAACCCTGTTAGTTTACCTGAGGGTAACCCCCCAATTTATCGCACATTTAATGGAAGATGAGGACGATATGGCATGGACAACTAAAACCTGAAGTTTGGTTGGAGACCAGCCATGGTAGTCATTTTTAGCCACCCGCAAACTAACATTGATGGAAAACAGATGGTTTCCTTGGGGAAAAAATTGGAAGTGATGGATTTCATGTCTATGTTTATTTACTGGTAGCACATTTTCAGACAAGCACAATTTGTGCATTGGAACATTTGTTTTTTGTAGCTAGGGTTGGACAGTCCACTTTCCATGGCCAATTTCGGATACCTACAAAAATGGATGATTCGATGTATTCGATGTATAGCAACCCCAAAAGATAGGAAAACAAACTCCTACTAAAATAGTGATAATATACTCATCTATTTTTGAGGGGGGGTTGTTATATGTTTTTTCCAACAAAATTGCCAACAACGTTAAGCCATGAACCTACTGTGCCATTCACCAAGATTGACCTAGGTTTATTCTGTGTAATGGCTTAAACATGCTTAAACACCATTTTTCAGTAGTGAAACACTTGTATCTTAAGGCTCAACAACTCTAATTTTACTGGCTAAATCACCAGATAACTATCAGAAATCACCTATACATCACCATGTTTGTTGGTTAAATTCCCTTTTTTGGTGGTTAAAATTCCCACATTTTTACCATTTTTCAGTGTCCATTTTTCATGGTGAACTCGCCATTTCTTGCCATAGCCTAACCTATATGATACCCTCTGGTAAACGTACAAAAAACTATGGAAAATCGACCCATGCTATTAATGGGAAGTCATCCACTATTTCGACTGGGTCATTTTCAATAGCTATGTTAGTTTATAGTTGATTTTCCCATTGAAAATGGTGATTTTCCATAGTTTACATGGTGATTTGTTATGGAGTTGTTATGGCAAAAAGTGCAGAAGCACCAGAGGTTATTCAAGTGGATTTAGCATGGGCCAGGAGCGAGGCTCAACGGCAAAAGGGCGATGAGCTACGCATGCGTGCGGCCACTGGGCAGACGGCATGGTTTTTTTTTTGACCCTTTGAAGGTGGTGAACCATCAATGGGTGATGGGATATCAGTGATATTATGGTGATAATTAATGATTGAATAGTGTGGCAATATCAATGGGAATATGAATCTGGGCAAATTTGATCACGACCTCACTGCGACCGAACCCTGGAAGTAAGGGAAACCATCCCCTGGAACCAAAGTATTGAAAATTGCACTCGATGTTGGGCAATTGATGGACAAATATGGCCGCAGACGACAACAAGCACAGGCTATCCGGAAGGAGACGCCTGGTCAGTGGTGGCAATGCTGGCAATTAATGCCTATTGGGTTTTCCATGCTCTGCAAGTCACCCCCAAGATTGCAGCATTTGCAGATAATTGGAGTTACGGTACCGAAAATCCCCAACATCATGCGGTACTTATTCCTTTGCTGGACCGCCTGACCAAAGCAGTACGATTAACAATTGATTGGTCCAAAACTTGGGGTTGGGCTACCAACGCCCTACACAAAAGTGCCTTAATCACCGCCAAAACCCAGCATTTGCCTGACGAAGTTGAAATTGCCATTGTATCAAATGCTCGTGATTTAGGCTATATAATCCACTATAATGCCAAACAATCCAGAGCCACCCAAAAGGAAAGACACGCCAAAGCGTTGACTGCACTTAAAAAGCTCAGACATGTTGATATCCCTCTTGAAGCCAAAGCGCAGATTGCAACCGCTTCTGCATTTGCTAAAGCCCTGTGGGGTACTTCCTTCTATCTTTCAGGACAACGTTTCTTTGAAGAATTGCGCGCTGAGTTTGCTCATGCAATTTTTGGCAATTACCACAACATTCAGTCACATGTTGCAGCCATGGCCTTGCTGAAAAGTGGAATGGACCCAGAATTGTACGTGATACATGCATCCATTCGCACAGCCAGACATTTTCTATGCCATGCCACAGACGATGAGAAAGAAATGTTTTGGCTTTTGGTCCGTCAGCCACTGCCACATGCAGCCACTATTGCGGGCCCGGCCATGGCCTTTAAGCAGTATATAACGAAACTCAACTGGACCTTGGAGGAAACGGGAAACATACGTATAACTGCTTTTACAGTATTGAACCTCATTGATAGCAACCTCAATGAAATATTGGATGCTGCCACAGATGCCTGGATGGAAATTGTCGTTGAAGTCACTGGTGGCCGAAAGCACATGCGAAATATGCCTCCTATTGATCGTGAAGCCACTATTGCAGCTTTTGCCACGGTCCCTGAAAAATTTAAGCTCAGCATGGGTCTCGAATCAACGGGAGGGTTTATGCTCAATTCTCAAAAGGCCCATTTTGCAGATCAAGTTGATGGTAAGTGCAATTATTGTGAAGAGATGGACTCACACAGACACAGAGTTCTCCATTGCAAAGCCACCCAAGAAGCCAGGGTTCAACATTCTTCTATTTGCCAGCAATTGGAAGAAGCTGAAGACATGCAACTTGCCTTTCCATTAGCTTATAAATCACCGGAAGACCAGTTTTTGCAAGATATGCTCTATCGCATTCCTGAGCCACACCTTGAGATGCCAAATGCCCCCAAACTAACTTGGGTGTACACAGATGGTTCTTGCTATTTACCCAACAGCCGAAGATATAGATGGTCTGCTTTTGCAATCGTGCGTCCAGCAGTGCCAATGCAAGCCCTACTGCAGTTGACCCAGACTCAACCTGAGGTTCTGCTCAGGAAAGCATATCATGTAATCGCAGTTTCAATAGTTCCAGGTAAGCAGACAATCAATCGAGCAGAACTATTTGCAGCCGTTCTGACGCATGAACAACAAATGAACGCGGTTGTGGTTACTGACAGTGCCTATGTCATCAATATGCATTCACTGGTTTGTCAAACGCGTAATGTAATGATTCTGCATAAACTGCCCAACTGGGACTTACTGAGAAGACTTCACCACTTGTATTGGAGATGTGATTACGCATTGCCGCACCTCAAGATCAAAGCTCATCAGAATATCACCACTCAAACTGCAGATGAAGTAATCCATATCTTGGGAAATCGCGCAGCTGATGAAGCCGCCAAACAAGCAGCCAAGCACCAAATGACGATTGTGACAAAGGACTTGCGCAGACTACATGCTGAATCCAGGACAGAACAACAAAACCTTACTGCACAGTATGCTTTAAGAGTAGATCTGGTTGTTAAACGCACGCGACTGGATAATGAAATTGAAACTACAAAAGCACCTGAAAGACAGATGGAACGCCTGGAGCAGATGCACAGCTATATCGTTGAGCACAGCCGTAAGTTTTCTTTCACAGAAGAGGATTTTCACAATGCGCGCAGCAGTAAATTTGGGAGACGCACTACGCATTTGCTTTTACAATGGCTTCAACAACTAGAATGGCCTACATCACCGGAGGAAGTTACACCACCAATTGGGATTACATGGGTTGAGCTGACCGTAAATTTCATGCTTTGTTCACAATCTTCAGTTCCGGTACAACCTCATCAAGAAGAACAGGGATTTACTATTCGAACCAACACCTTTCGCAATATCATTATGCATGTGCAGTTCCTCGTCAATAAAGAAATCATTCCTAAGCTTACACCAGTAAAGGTCAAATCACTTTCTCAACTGGGGGCAAAGGTGCTGAAACAAGGGCTACCATTGCGTCCAAAACTTCCACTACAAGATGAAACTTTGGAAATCTTGCAAAAATACTTCAGGGAGCATGGCCAAAATGGTAAGGCCTGCTTCACGGCTATGCCTCACATTCCGTTAATGGATCCGGTTGTTACAACTGACTTGGATGAGACTTCTGAATTTACTCAGAAAGATCGCCAAAAACTGTACAGAGAACGCAGACAGCAGATGAAGGACGAGAACACCAATCTGGAACTTGCTGCCGACGACGATTAAATCTGTCAAAACGATGGGTATTTTAGCTAGCCAACAAACTGCGATGACCTGTGAACATCACAGGGGGAGTGGGATAACCTCCTTAGTAGTACTGGCCTTTATCTGTAGCATTGCTAGGAACCGAGGTGGTGGGTCCATCAAGCCTCTGTTGATCGCCAGTGTTTAACATCAAGGACTGTGTGGATGGGATTAGAGATGGTTTTAGTTCATGATAGGACCCTTCGCCTGGTCCCTCATTGACTATGGACGCAGTCTTCTCTTGCAGCTGCGGGGGGAAGGCTGTGGGCGCAAGCATGTGGGCCGAACTATTCAGGTTTGTGAAATATCATAATTTATCCAGATCAATGGGTGATGGGTGTATTTGACACTGACTAAGGAATCTTCACTTTTCTGACAATCTTATTCATCTGATGAACATTAAGTATTTTTCCAGTGATTCACCATGATTTTCTCTATATATTATGTTGGTATATTGGTTTGTACGGGGCAAAATCAACTGAGAGAAGGAATCGGATTCCTTGACTTCCCAAGTGAAATTGTTGAACAGGTGGCTGACAGCTAGCGGTGCCCCAAAGGAAAGACTTGTGACTCTTTGTACCCTCTGGTGAACTAACATAGCAATTGAAAATGGCCATTTATAGTGGATTTTCCCATTAAAAATGGTGATTTTCCATTGCTATGTTAGTTCACCAGAGGGTATCACTTCGGATCGTCTCAATCCAATTCTAAGACGTGACACGGTGACAGCACACCTTGATGACAAGTGGCAGGTCATTGAAAATGCTTTCGGGATGTGTCAGAGGGGCTGGGGAGACTGGCAGCACGTGAAGACGGTCGCCGAATTTCTGGACTTGGTGGATCGTCAGTGCACGCCTCGTGAGTTCTGGCCTTTCTTTGAGCTTCTTTGAACCTTGGAAGTTCTTTACATTGGTTGGTTAGGAAATATTCCCATTCTATGGGTTGGAAATGGTTAGAATCATTCCCAATCATGCCATGGTTTTTGTAGTATATTCAAATCAATGGGTGATGGGTGTATTTCAAAATAGGCTATCTACCCAAATGGTCTTTTTAATAGGGAACATGATTGTGAATGTTTTTTTTCTTAAAACATAGCTATGGAAAATTACCCATCTATGATTTGACTGCTATCAATGGTGATTTTTCATAGCTATGTTAAATTAGCAGAGGGTATTTTTCCATAAAAAGGACGTGGTCATCCAGTTTCACTTCGGGATTCATGACTTTAGGATTCCCATTAGATGGATGATTCATCCTGACCATGGTGCAGATGTTTTTTTTGGTTAACCACAATCTGCACCTGGTGCGTTCTACGTAGGGTTGCTGGATGGGTTGCTGGGGCTTGCTGGGATGATTATTGATAGTTAGCCAGTGGATCATTCCCGAAAATTCCCTGCGTTTAGCACCAAAAAGATTATAATTCCATAAAAACACCATTTCTTGAAGTCTTGCTGGTTAAAATCCATTTGTTTAGCACCAGTAAGCAATCCATTTGTTGGTCATTCGAGTCGAGTTTCAAGAAGGTTCGCCATTGGTTGTTTTAGGGAGCCGTGAGACGGTTGTGGGAGAAGTCCAAACGACCAAGGGATATCAACGGGCAAGTAAAAACAGAAACTATAATATAGCATAATATAGCTACAATGTGAGGCCCCCCAATTATAAGTTGGTTTATAAGCCCCAGTAACTATAGTTATAAGTACCATAAACCATAGTTATTGGAGTTATGTTCACCAACTTAGCTATCGAACGGGGGCCTCACATTGTAGGATATGCTATTGTGGGATGTTCAACACCATGTTGGAGCGTTGATCAGGGTTTCAGCATGTTTAAACCTATGGGTCTTATGTCATTTTTGGGATGAATTCTAGTGACGTCAGGAGGAGGTTACCATGTTTTGCGATGGTCAGGATTGTTCAATGGACCCAGAAAGTTTGTAATTGTGGCCACATCATATGTATAGATATGTATATATATATATATACATAATTATATATATATATACATAATACATATATATATTATATAATCTGTATGGAACTATATATCTTTATGGACATATCTAAGCTT